TAAGTGTCTCACAAGTTTTTCACATTTATCACTGAAATGGTTTGCAATTATAAAATGTGTGGAAAAAATCAAGTTTCACTAAAAGCTATAAAAAAATTTCATGCATTCATTATAATAATAATATGTCAGTCATTGAGTCTAACATTAGTGACTTCAGTGACGGCAAAACCATTGAAATCAAGTCATAACAAGACTTTAGGCAATACTTCGGTTAAACATAATTTTCGTACCATTAATGTTGGCCAGAATCACATGCATGACATTAATGATTGGGATAATAATGATAATAATAATGCGAAAAATTCAACTAAATTTAGTCCAAAAAAACAAATAAAAACCGATTCTGAATCACATTATGACAGTACAGACAATGAATCAGATGAATGGGGTCTGCAATTTGATCCAAACTATTTTGCGACACTTAATGCCGCAAATCATAGACCCGTCGATCTAATGGTTAGTTCTTCTTCTGACAGCAAAACTAAAGTCCAAAATCCGTCGACAACTTCCACATCTTCTTCATCTTCTTCCATCTCTTCTCCGTCGTCTTCGTCTTCAATTTCAATGTCTGATAACTTATATTATTATTCACCAGAAACTTATGGCAAGCAATCTCACAAAAATCACAAAACAGGTTCGTATTTGTATTCATATCCCTCATCAACGACTACATCAAGTACTACGACAACGACAACAACTCCCAGTCCTAAAATGTCAAGCAATCGGTTTGGAGAGACTTCTGGCGGTACGTCGTCCACATCCGACGGATATAGTGAACCGGCGTCTCATTCATACAGTACTCCTTATGATGAAAACAATGACGAAGAAGAAGAAGAGACCCATTATTACGAACCAAATGAAGAGATTTCGCGATCCAAATACTATTATCCGTATAGAAATAGACAAAAACAGCACTCAATTAGTGATTATTATGGATCAGATTTGTCCTCAATGTCTACATCTAATGAAAACTCTAAAATTAAATCGGACTCCACTTTAGTTTCTCCACCCGTTTCGTTGTCATCTCTTCCAGAATCGCAAGATTTAGATCAGAACATAGAAACTCATTATCATAGTAGCGGTGGTAATGTTAAGTTTCCCTCCAAATACTACAGTGGAGGTACCGGTGCTTATTATCCATCATACTATCCATCAGCTTATTATCCTTCACAATACTCACAGTCATCACAACACCCTTCATATTCAGACGATTCACTGCTTAAGTCCAATTGGTTGGGACCGGGAATTGCAGGTCTATTGTTGGGTATTCTTCCGTTTGGTTTGCTTATGGCATCAATGGCTCCGGCATTAATGTCTGTCCCAATAGTCAGCACAGCGACTGTTGGTCGCAGAAAAAGAGATACAACCGATAATAATGTTAAAAATAGCGACAAAACTAATATATTTTTAAATCCCGGAGTTTTCAAAATTTTGGCCACTTATGGCATGTCATCATTGGATGATCCAAATTGTTTGACAGAAATGTTTTGTTCGTTTGCTTCGGAGGGACGGCAGTCGCAGTCAGATATGGCTCAGTCCATACTTTATCATATAATCAACTGGTAAGTCAACTAATGGTATTAGTTTATAAAATACATTGTATATACTATAATAATTATTGCATAATAAAAATATTAGTCAATGATTTATGAAAAAATACTAATGATATTTAATATTTTTATAATATATAATGTTTATTAATTTTGAATACATGTATTTATATATATATATATATATATATATATATTTTTTTTGATGATATTATAGGACACCCCGTGTTTTGGCCAAATCATTAGGAATCGACACACTTTTTGATGCGATTAAACTTAATAAATGTCAAAACACTTACAAATGTATGTCTAAGAAAGTGAAGCTCAAAAACAGTGAAAAATATCATTTTTAAAAATGTATTGTATATTAATAATGGGATTAGAGTTTTTGAATCTCTAGTCTATTAATATTGTATGCCTTCTCACTCACTGTTTTCTGGAAAAAAAATAATTTTGTTTTTTAAAAAATATTTATTTACATGAAAAATGCATTTATAATATTTTAATAACTATTTGTATTTATGTTATAATTTTTTTTTAAATAAAGTCAGTTTTACTACAAATCAAATGAGATATTTTTCATTAGATTAGTCTCTTTTTTAATAAGCTTATTAATATATTAATAATATTAAAGATTAAATTAATGAAAAAAAATAATGTCAACGTTTTAGACCCGAAAGAGAGTGCAATGACTTTTTACATACACTATAATCTTCAAATGTAACCAAAAAAATAAAATATTTTAACAAAATCTTTGTTTAATTTTATTAAATTATAGTTTTTTATTTATTTTATTTTACTGTTTACACCAACTTAGCGATGCCTTGACTAACATATATACCATTTATTTTAATGTTTTTAATTAAGTTTTTTAGTTTCTATTGTTTTTTATTATGTTTGCAAATAAAGTTAAACTATTTACTGAATTAGTTTTATGTTTGCAAATGTTTTTCACAATAATTATTTGTAAAAATAATAATAATAACTGTTTGGATATTAAATTAAATGATATCAATGATATCAAAAATAAAGAGTTTCTTCTATCATCGGGTATACCATTGCCTCCGCTAAGAAAGGCATCTAAACTGGTCTCTGATTGTATGGTAACAAAAGACAATACTAAACGTCTCACTAAAGATGTCAAACCCAAAGCCAAGTCTTTTATTTATTCATACAATACAAAAATTGATGGATCAAAGTCAAGAAGTATTGATAGTAAAGACCGAAAGGCGTCGAAAATATTGGAGAGGTTTGAAGGACACAATTCAGTCAAAGTGATCCATTCAACCAAAACCATTGTTGAAAAGGATCCTAAAGTTTATGTATTTTTGCCGTCACCCATATCAAGGAAGAATGATGACAATCATAATGACAACGATAGTAAAGAAAATAATGATAATAATGACGATGACAACGATAATGATAATAATAATGATAAAAATGATATCAAAGATATCAAAGATAAAACAGTTACTGAAAAGCCATCTAAAAGAGATAAATTTAAGAAAGAAAAGAGTGTCAGTTGTCTCAAAGATAACAATCAATTTGATGACCAAAAAGACTTTAAAATGTATGACTCTGAAGACAGAAGATTGTCTTCTCGCGACACTTTCTCAAGCCGTACGCCGACAACTGTTTACGTCGACTCTAAGATCTTACCGATAAATGAGAGGTACTCAAGCTATTCAAATACGGCGCCCACCAGTGGTGGTTATGGGGCATCAATGCATTTGTCACCTGTACAACAACTACCGCAATCGGAAACCATGCCAACTATGCCTATGCCGATGCCAATGCCAATGCCAGTTCCACAATCACCTATGTTTATGAAGCCAGTGCCGTATGCATATCCATATCCATACCCCTATCCATATCCGGTACCGTTTCCGCGACCAATCCATACATCACCTGTTTTTCCAACTGTCCCATCGTTTGATAATTTAGGAAATTTTATTGACACTATGCCTACCATTCCCACAATGATGAGACCCATTCCAACAATTATGAGACCCATTCCAACAATGATGAGACCATTTCCCATAAGGAAAGCTGTGTATATAACGCCAGCTGTTCCCAAAAAAACAACTGCAATATATACGACCCAATACACACCGGCCACCAAAACAGTTGTCTACGAATCGGACAGCTTTCCGCAGACCAAACCTGAAATGCAAATAATGGATGTCCAGTCCATACCATCGATGACCTCACCATTCAGTCTTTCGCCATTTAGTATTACAACAAATATTATTAAGTCATCGCTGATGAATGGTCTCAATAAAAAGTTATTTCATCACCACATGTTTGGACCTAAATTTTAAGATTTTTTATCTACTAATAAAATGATGGCCTCACTCACAGGTTTTAGAGTAAAACCTATTATTTTCTATTATTTTGTTACAAATATTTATTGGCTTTCTTTATGATAGTTTTCGTGTTAAAACTATTATTATAAGGAAACAAAGTTTTAACAAAAACCAATTTTTTTTGGTAAACTTATATATTAAATCATATTATAGTTAAACTTTTTATATACAGGTATTACTTTAGATACTATGTGTATTACTACAGTACATAGCCATAAGTTTTATGTCTGAATTGAATTATTATTAAATTCAAGTTTATTGAACACACACACCGGTAACTATTGTTATTATAGTTTATTATTAAATACTACTGTTTTTATTATATTGTAAATTTTATTTACTTTTTTTGTAAAAAAAATTAAAATGCTTTATTTATAAAATAAATTTTTAACAAAAAATATTCTGATATTTTTAAGTTAACTTAAATTATATAAGTAATAATGGATAAATAAATAAAAAATTATAAAATATCATTAATTATTATTATATCATAAATAATAACAAATAATATAAATTATTCATTTAAAATAATATGTAATTCATTGGTTTGTTTTTTGTTATTACTATTATGTTGTGTGTAAATAAAAAATATAATAAAATGAAATTTTTTAAAATGAGAAAAACGGAAATTCAATTTATTATTACTATTACTTATAGTAAAATTAGTCGATTTGTTTGCTTTTTAAAAGTCAACGTGTTTTCGATACTAAGTCACAAAAAGTTAGCCTTAAGTAAACAATAAAATGAATTTTGAAAATAATAAGAAGTTTATAATAAATTTTTGTAATTTTATACAAATGGTCACAAATGCTATTAAAATTCACAGCATATATGTATTACTAAATAAACTGAAAAATTATTTTGTCATTTATAAAGATATAATTTACTGTACTGTATATGTTTAGTAATAATAAACAATACATATAATTAAATCATTTTGAATAGCTTTTATAAATATATATTGATAGTCATAAAAGAGTCATATTATACATGTATTAGATTTTATCAATGTTTTTATAACAAAATTTTTATCAAAAATTTTTGTTGAGTCAAAAACAATGTTTGCTAACAAGTTAATAACATTGTATATATTGATGCATTTAATTTTGTTAATATATTCATCAGTCGCTGAAGTTTACAAAATTGATTTACAAAATACATTAAAAGAGACAATTGAAAGGCAAACATACATTAGTGATAATGCCGTCAAAAGGATTAGACGGGCCATCACTACATCACAGGTAAGACTATAGCTATAACTACTCAATACTTACTTTAAATGAATTGCTTTTTATTTAAAGCGCAACTAAAAGCTTTTTTATGTAATAAACGTGTAATATATCAGTCAGTTATATACGCTATATTGACATACAAAAACTTTTGACATTATAATTGTTTTGTTTTTTTGGAAAAACATGAATACAATATAACTATTTATGTAATTGTTTTTTTTAGTTTTTCATATTTTTTCAGTTAAATGCATTTTTTAATAATTATCTTTTGTGTTAATATATTAATGTTGTTTCGATTGTTTTTTAAGAACTAACGATAATTATAATTATAACAATAAATAATTGATAATAATTGACAGGTTCTTACATTTAATATAACAAATGCACTAATTTTGTTGGGATTGAAAGCTATATTAATCGGCGCCGGAATATTAGGCAAAATTTCGTTTTGGAAATATCCGAATCTCGGAGGTGTTCCAAGTGGTCGTGTCCTCAATTCTAGCGACCATTTGGCCGATCAAACGGCCAATCAATTGTATTATTCATTGATTTCAAATGAAGACATAAGATGGTCATCGGCTTATATCTGGGCCATCAATAAAAATGATTTCGGATGTCTGTATCAACTCGCCTGTCAAAAGAGACACTCGGCTAACATATATCTAAAAAACGGCAGATATTTGGCCAAAACAATTGATACCATATTCAGGTAAATTAGACTTTTATTTGTTGAGTTAAACTTTAATTAAATAATAAGTAAAGTAAGTTTCAATGTTTCTTAAAATAATTGATGTCTTATATATATATTAATAGATATAACTGTATATTTTATTACTATATATTTATTATCTTTTAATACTCAATACACGTGTGGGTATTTAAAAAAAACTTCTTATGTCTACAATAAATACTTTTTAAATTAAAATTGATACAAACAGTATATTTTTAGCCACAGTTTATGTTTTTAAAAAACGTGTTGTTGTTCTCTCTCTCTCTCTCTCTCTCTCTCTCTCTCTATTTTTCTGATCATTTGCTTGAGGCTAATATAAGTGTGTGATTTGCATGAAAAATCTGTCCCCTATTTGTTTACTACAATATTTTCAAATAAAATACATATGAATATGAATGATAGCATAAAAAATAGTTTCTGTGTTTTAAGCCGAGTAAAAATAATTTTTAGCAAAACTATTCATATCATATATTATTGTATAATATAATGCTAAATACTATATTTACAATATACGGTATATATATATATATATATATATATATATATTGATATATATTGATATATACTAGTATACTGTAACTTTGTGATGTGTGTTTACTGTATTATTGATATATTCAATAGTATTTAATGTTTATTATATTATACAGGTATACGAAGCCTATACCTGGCACTTGACTTTTAGTAAAAAATAAATGAGAAAATATATTTGTATAATAAAATGAAATATTATTACATAATAGGATTCTTCTCTTTATTTATATATTTATATTTACGTTGACTAGTAATCAGCCGAACAAAACAGGTTTATATTAACATTCATATATATATATATATAATAGTATAATACTATTAATAAAAAAATCATTCAAACACTAATAATATATAGTTTTTTTCTGTGATGATAGAGAGTAATACAATAATATTAATAAACAATAGAATTGATATAATAAACAGTGAAAAGTTTCAATCATTTTTTAAAAAATCATAAAAAGATATGTTTTTTACAATTGCTTTTAAACACGACTCAGAAGTGATGGGCAATGGGATAGAGACATGAACTCAATTTTCAAATAATATCAATAATACCGCAATATCTCTTAAATATATATATTATATTATATTAAATATATAAAAAAAATATTATGACTCAATATATAAGTTAACAATTATATTAAGGCACGAAATAATTCAATACATTTCACGACTTATTACTTACGGCTAATGAATCCAACCATATATTTACACCTTATGTCAAGTCTTGAGGTTAATTGACTTATTAATACAATTATTACATTATTCCTCATATTGATAGTCAATTCATCTTTCATTTAAATGCTTTATACATATATATATATATATATTTATATTATATACAGTATATATATATATATATATATATATATACTGTATATATATATATATATATATATATATATATATATATATATATATGTTATATATGTTTTGCTATTTTTGTTGTCTTTTGTTTGTTTGTAATTCATGGCAAACCAATTACCAAATATAAAAAAGCAAATAATTATGAGCTTATGATTGATTATGAATTCATGTGTATATAAATTATATAACTATTTTTTATTCTATTATTTTTTATATAGCATTTTTCAATTCAATAAATTATTTCTATTATTTATTTTTTAAAACTAAATTATACATACGATTATTATGATTATTTTTTTTGTTTTAATAAATTCAAATGTTTAAAAATGTTTATTACTAGACTTGTTATGTTAAACCACAATCAATACCGATATTTAAAATTTTTTATTATCATTTGGATTATTATTATTATAATTTTATTTTTTTAATGAAAACTTCTTCCGTTTAGCAATAATTCATAATTTATGTCTTTTTTTGTTTTTTAATGTCAAACAAAATACTATTATAAAAATGTAATTAATTTTGACAATACGTGCACATAATAATGGATTATATAAGTAATCATTAAAAAGAGCTAAATGTTATTTTAAATAGATTAACATTTAATAACAACAATAATGATAATAATAATAATATTTAATGTAATTTAGTTTTTTTAATAATACTTCATAATACTAATAATGTCCTCATTTTCTCTAATAAATTGACAGTTATTTGAATGTTTCTTATAATAAACATTATTATGAGATAATTTTGAACGGAATACAAGAAGCTATGGATTCAAGTGGTGGTAATAGCGGTGATGTCGATGACGATGAGTGCCAAACAAAGTACAGGTGCAGCGCTCCGTTTGGTGGACTCAATCTCAAACAAATACTCAATAATTTTGGCTAAAATACTATTATTAGTTGACTTTAAATTGGTATTCATTTACTGCACTAAGTCTTAATGTCTATAATTTTATCTCATTTTTTATTTGTTGATTAATATTATAGTTTTGAAGACATTGTTGTCTTAAACATATAGTATATAATTATAATCCAATTCATTTGTAAAGCATTAGTTTGTTCTCACGTATACTTATTGTCAATATTTTTATTTATTAACAAAATATTTATAAAAATAAAAATATATTTTTTGTGTAATAATATTTAATGTCTTATTATTAGTATAATTTTATTTATTAGAAAAATATTGACATGAATTGTTTACAATAATAATATTAGTAATAATTTTTATTCATTGCAACTAATTTAATAAGAAACTAATAGTTAAAAAATATAGAAAACATGGTAAACCCGTCAATTAAATTTAATAGATATTAATTACTATAATTAATATCAAATGAAAATATTTTTCTAACTATTTAATCTCAAAGAGAATTTCAACACTTAAATCAATTTAATTTGATGTTTAAATTTATGATTATATTTTTTGTAATGTATAAATAGTATAAATAGTTAATCCAAAATAAAAACTTTGCTAAATATATACAATTAACAAACCCAGGTATGTACACTGCATTGCACAGGTAGTTTGCATGTTTTATATTGTTTAAAAACTATCTGGACAATTAATAAGTGGTTTTTTTTGTATTATTAGTCGAGTATCCGGTATTAATAAGAAATTATTGTTTATTTATATATTCACAGAAAGTCTAACCATTACTTCCTTAATATTTTGCCACCACTTTGTACACTAACAGAAACCGCAAAACCATATTATAGCCCCTTCTCTCTCTCTCTCTCTCTCTCTCTCTCTCTCTCTCTCTCTCTCTCTCTCTCTCTCTCTCTCTCTCTCTCTCTCTCTCTCTCTTAGTCATACAATCCTATCATATGGTTATATCGTGTTAACGCCTATAGCTTTGTGTGTGTGTTTTGTATATTACAATTATCTCTCACTTTTTTATTCAACAAAAATAAGTTATGCCGTGAATAAAGAGTTTTTTGAAATAAAAATAGTTAAGGCTTATGAATATAAAAATATTTATTGAATGCCAATGTGTATGGGATTTGACTGTATAATTATGGCATCCAATTAGTCTATTGATTCTCTTATTATAATTTTAATTCACATCCAAATGCCAAAAATGAATTCATTAGTCAAATAAGTTGTATTTATATTGCAATAATAATATTATATTTATTATATATACGGTATTACTATATATAATTAGTATTACTAGATATATACTCAAGTGTATTAAAAAATAATTTTTATTTATAAAATATACCAGTATTAAATATTATATAAGCAATATAATTATATGCAATAACAACAACAAAAATGTTAATTTCTCGTCATATATTTTTTTGGGTATTTATTTTAAATATATTTCAAACGCTTTTTACGCATGAGATGGAAAAGAAGCTGTTTTTAAGCTATAATAATAATAATACTAATAATATTAATATTTATAATAATACTAATAATATGAGTGGTGAGGACAGGAGTGATGGTATTCAAAGTGAAGATAATACAGTTATTTCTTCATATATGAGAAGACAATCAGCTTATAGTGGCTTCACTTACTTAGCCGTCTCTCTCTTATTTCAATTACCACTAATGGAAATCATTTTTGTTATGGGACTCATAATTCTTGTTTTAGGTGTTGTAATACATTTTTTGTCGACAATTTAAATATTATTTCTAATATTTTATTTTTTATAACACTTTTATTTCTATTTTTGAAGGAATTTTACTTCATTTCGTTGAACTCAAAGCCGACTTCTTTAGACTGAGGCGTCAGTTCATACGGGAAGAGAAGCTTAGAATTCAATTAGAAAGACAAGAAGCCATTAGAAATCAAACCAAACAACAACACCAACAATCAGATGAAGATCTTAGAGATGGACAATATAATACACCAGAAGATCCCAACAGTCAAACCAATGGCACAGACTATAAGCACAGTTATGATGATAGCGACGATAATAACGATGAGTACGACAGACAGTTTGGTGGCGACAGTCTGGATGATGGTATACAACCATCACTCATAAGACCGGTTTATCGATTGCCAGAACCGTATCGCCGATACAATAGACCAAATCGAAGAAGATATCCAATTAGAAGAAGGTATCCAAATAGGAGACGACTAATCATAAACCGCAACCAAAGATATCCATCTAATAAGCATTTTTAGACAATCATTTAATAACAAAAAAATGATTTATTATTTGTTGAAAATTTTAGTGATATATTTAATATGTTTTCAAAGAAAAATGTTTTATATGTAAATTAATTTGATTTGTTTGTAAAATTATTTGTAGATGAATTTTTTAATTTTTTTAAATCTATAAATTAAATATAGAGACAATCTTATGATAAATGACTGTTTAGTTATGATTTATTGTTATTTTTTCAATTATTTATGATAGTTTATTATAAATTATCAACTTATTTATCAAGTTAAAATTTTTTTAATATATTAGACCATTGGATTAAATATTTATAGATTTTTTTGATAATGAAATCAAAATATACAGTACATATTAATAATGATACTACCGTACTTGTATACAATAATTTTTTAAAAACTACTTAAATATTTTAATATAAATTATAAATTATATACTGTAAATTTAAATACCGTATAAATTTATAATAATATAAGTATAAAAACAAAATAGTGGTTAAAGTTGAGAAATGTTAATTATTTATAAAATTATGATATTTAGTCACATAAATATTGAATATTTTGTTTGCTAAATATTATAATTTTTTATTTAAATATTAAGTGTCATTCAAATTAATTCATGTTTAGATATTTTTATAAATTCATTGTCACTTAAAACAAGGCAAACATAAAAGCCAATGACCCATAACTGAGTGGCTAATCGGTTAAAATAAAATAGTTTTATCTTTTAATAAGATTTATAATAACTATCACTCGTTATAACTCATATCCTAGTTTTGGTTGAAATCCTTTTTACTCTTATATTTCCTATTTTTATAATAAAATCTTATTTTTGTTGAAACAATTTAGCCATTAAAGAGATTTTTATATTTATATCATTAAAGTTTTTGTCTTTACAAATAATAGCTATTCAAAGACTTCAGCAACAAAAAAACATGAAATACTTAAATATCATTATATTTAATATCATAACCATAATTATCTGTCAGCCTATTGACGGTCGGTTTATTGGCAATCCTTTTCTTTGGCTTCAATGGTGTATGTATTTTGCTATTCAATAATTATTATATAATACAAAAATTAAATTGATTTTTATAATATAATATATAATAATGGTTTTTTGCAAATCTATTTATACGGTATACATATAATAGCTGCGGCTCAAAATGAGACCAATATATTATCACTTAACGAGACAACAGCAACAACAACAACAGATAAATCCAATGACACACTACTTGAGCGGCCCATCACTCAAGTGGTATCAGTTCCGCCACCAATATTATTGTCGACTGAATCAACCCGTCCTCTACCGGTCAGACAACCAGAGTCTCTACTATTACCACAACTTGGAGTACCCGTCAAATCAAATCGCTTTGGATTAGAGCCACTGATCCGTCCAATTGAATCAACTGATCAAGATTTTCATTCACTTCAACCACATAAGTCTGTGTCAAGTATTCAGTTTCATAAAAGAGTCGGCGATATCATCGAGAGCTCGGCTCAGTCGCCATCAACAACGCAGTCGAGTAATGCAAAAGATATAATAAATAAGGATTTAATTGAGAAGTTTTGGACACCGGATAACACCAATAATCCATTTGATATTAAATTTATTGACACCGAAGATATGATCAATAAGACGACAGATGATTCAACAGAATCTGAAACGCAAGCTATGGATACCGTCTCTCCGATGCCAGTCTTCAAGTCATCAAACAATGACAACATTAATGAGATGACAAAATCAATCAAACCATTGATAACATCCGATGTCGATAGCGACCAATTTGTTGATATGTTGAATAAATTGTATTATAATAAACCGTTTGAACCAATTGATCGTTTTGGTCCCAAGAGTTTTAAATAAACATTTATTTATATATTTTTTTTAATATCAGATTTTATTTTATTTTTTGTTATCATAAATATTTTTATAAATAGTTTAGTTTTTAGTTTTAAAATTATAAAAAATAAAATATATAATAAACCCTCGCCATTAAATATTATAAAATTTTGAAAAATAAAACATTTATATAGATTGATTAAAATACTAAAGATTTTTATAATATTTTATCGTTATTAAATAAAAATCATTATAAAATATATTATAAATTTTATTTTGTTTTACTGTTTTTTAATCTAAAAGAATGTTATTATAAATAAAAAAAAATACATATAAAACAGGAAATTTAAACTCTTGTATAACAAATAATAAAATTATATAATTATTTTTGATATTTTTTTCGACAAACATTTGTAAGTAATGTTACAATTATTGTAATCAAAGGCATTGAATATTATATCGACTGCTAATGATTTGATCCAAACAGGAGTTATCCTATGATTTCATAATAAAATATTAATTTATATATATATTCAATATTAATTAAATTGTCAATAAATTAATTACAACAAAAAACATACCAATCAATTAACGCATGGAATAAAGATTCATATGTTTTAAAATGCCGTCCGATTTTAATAATAGTACAAATTATTTCAGTCAAACAATTTGGATCTTCAAGTGATGATGACATGTGATAAGTGTATAAATTTTTTAATACATTGATACTTAAAAAATCATTAGTATTATTGATATCGTTAACACTAAACACTTCATTATTTATATTAGTATTTCTTTTCCTTCTGGCAATGGCTACACCACTGACTACTGGAATGGTTACAAAAGCTGGTATTATCGACGCTATAATACTAACTAACGGCAAAATACCGATAAGTAGTCCAACAATTCCCGGCCAAAGCCAAGTAGACTTATGTTCCACTGAATTATCATTCAATTGACTCATATTTCTTGATAAATCATTTGCATTGTTTTGTGGATAATATTTTGAAGGATTATTATATCTGTGATAATAACCATTTTTATCTTTCATATAATTTTTATAATAATTTCTATTATTATTATTATTATTATAATTATTATTATTATTTTTATTTTCATAAGTATTGTTATTATTATTATTTTCATAATTATTTTGTTTGTAATTTGCATTTTGTTCGTAGTCTTCATCTTTTTCTTCATCTTTTTCTTCATATATCTTATCATAAGTTTTGTCATTTTCATCGATCGTTTTCTTATAAGAAGTTTTGGATGAATAAAAGTCATTTGTTGGTGAAGTTGTCAAAGAATATGATGAAGTTGTCGACGGATTGTTATAGACTTTGGCTTTAGTCTTATACGATGAACTAACCATTAGATCGACGGGTCTATGATTTGCAGCATTAAGTATCGCAAAATAGTTTGGATTTAATTGTAGACCCAATTCATCGGATTCATTGTCTGTACTGTTATTTTGTAATTCAAAGTCGGATTTTATTTGTTTTTTGGGACTAAATTTAGTTGAATTCAAATTTTTCGCATTATTAGTATTATTATTATGCCATTCATTGGTGTCATGCATGTGATTGTGCCCAACAGTAATGATATGTTTAAATGAATTGTTGTCTAAAGTCTTGTTATGACTTGATTTCAGTGGGTTTGCCGTCACTGAAGTCACTAATGATAGACTCAATGACTGACATATTATTATTATTATTAATGCATGAAATGTTGTTATAGTTTGGAGTAAAACTCGATTTTTTCCACACATATTATAATTGCAAACAATTTCAGTGATAAATAACTATTTAAGTGACACTTACTTAGATAATCATACAATACATAAAAACATAAAGTGTTACTTCAAAAATAATAATAATATATTATTTTCAGTAAATTGATTAATAATATCAATATATAAAAAACTACAAATATTTAAATTATACCGCAAAAAACAGCTTAATTTAAAGTGCTATAAAAATTTATATATATTGTAAATTATTGTATATTTATTAAAATAAAAATTAATAACCAATAAAAATCATTTTCTTTATAAAACATTTACATATAAACTGTTAATTACACCAATAATTTTAAAACATAATCTTTTTAAATCTTATTCATCCGGAATCCGGATTTATAATTATTGTTTATAATTAACTTTTTATTATTTATTTTACAAAAATATTTCTTATATAAAAAGTTTAACATTATTGTATTTTATATCTTAAAAATTATAAGTTAAAATAAAATATTTTTATTTTTTGTATTAATTATATATATTTTTACAATGAAGTTTAAAAATAAAAATATTTTAATAACATTATTTCAATTTATCATTATTGTCAATTATTTCAGTTTTATTTTATGTTTTATCATTAAAAATGATTTTGAAAGTGTGTAATAGTAATATTTGTTTGATTTAATTTTGTTAATAAAATTTTGTTTTTTTAAAAGATAATCGACAAAAACGACAAATATTGCCACAAACAGCTATACTATTGCCAAATGTCGGGCAATATCTGGCACTCATTCAGATATTAGTTTTAAAATTAGTTATTTGGACTCAAATAATGCGATTGCTTGGACAGGACTATGTTGGCAAAGGTGAACAAAACAAAACTAATTGTTTTACAAATTTATAATTAAACTTATTATGCGAACAAATATACGTTTTCCCTTATTTTAGGCATTAAAAGCCAAACTCCACTGTCTGAACAAGAAGTCTTGGATGAGATCCTTGATTACGACGATTTGGAGGCAGAAAATGATTTGTTAGACAATCAGAGAAAAAGAAAAAGAAGGCGAAGAAGAAGCGATCCAATCATCACTAGAGGCGGAAGACATTACAAATAAATAATAATAATAATAATAATAATGGCATTAAATTTTCAATTATTTCAACAAAATTGTAAAATTATTATTTTTTAAAAGTTGCATTTAGGGGCCAATCAATGATTAGTTAAACATTTATTTATTTATTTATTATTTAAAATACTTAACTTATTATACTTACAAAAAACTTTGTGTTTTGATTAATATTTATTTTATTTATATAACTTATTCGTGTATTATTTATAATGTATTAGCTTTTTACACTACAAAGTCATTTGAAAAAATTAATTACAAATAAATTTATTGCATAAAAAATAACAAAATATTTAAATGTTTTCAATGATTTTATAATTAAACCTTAATTTTTGTTTATTATTGATAAAACATAAAATTTATTTTATACGACATTTATACTCTTTCTGTGTATATGTGCGTCAATAGTAAGTTCATAAGCCTTTGGGTTTTTAGCATAGGTTTCGATGAAATAAATCTTTTAAATCTTTTTACGAAACGTCGAGGAAGTGGTGGTCTTTGATTTACAGATCGTACTCTCGATTGAGAGCCATATTCTTCATCAGATTCACTATTTTCTATGAACTGGCGATTATAATGTCTATTATTATACATTTGTCCCTTATATCTGTTGGCAAAATATGGCAAATAGTTTAGCGGTATTTGTGGTCTATAGTGTTGTTGTTGTGATTCACTTTTGTATGGTTGGCGATCGCTTCTCATATCGTAATCATCATCATTGTTGTTGTCGGTGTAGTCATCATAATCACTATTTGGCATTTGTTGAGACATATAATCGTAATAATCATTTGGTGGTTGCATTTGATCCATTAGTCTCTCTCTTAGCTCTTGTATGCGATTCATGTTATCTCGGCGTCTCTTATGAAGATAGTCAATGCTAGAGAGTGAGAGGAGAGCCAATATATAGCACATACCGACACCGATCAGACCAAATACGCCATACAGTGATCCTCTGCCTATCAATAGTGGGAACAAAACTCCCGGAATGAATAGGCCTTCCGATGTGTTCACACATATTATTAATATAAATAACATAATAAACACTATATTTAACAACATTTTTTCAAAAGGGTTTCAAATCATTTTTGATTATTTATTAAAATAAATTTCTTTGAAATATTGAAAAAAATTATATATATATTTTCCTAAACTAAAGTTTAACGCGGAAATTAAATTCATTATCAAAAATATAGACATTTATTAGTGAAATCCCAATAGGCATGACCTATAACTAAGATAATCTTGATAAAATATTAAACTAGGTTAATACTTTATAAATTGTAAATTTCAATAATATTAATGTTTGTTAATGAATTTATACTATAAGTTTTTTGATATAATATTATATTTATTATTATTTTTGTTTAATAAAAATTTTCAATACAATAGAAATGACTAATTTAAATGAAATCAATATAATTACACATTATTTTAATATATGATATGATTACTATTATAAAAAAAAATCTGTTAATAAACTAATTATTTATCATTTGATTGCCAAGTCTGATGACTTCTTCCGATTGGAAAGCACAGGTAGGATAGAATTGGATGCATTGCTCTGCCGACACCTGTGATCCAGTGGTGGCCGCCTGTCTGTACTGAGCTGCCGACGCTGTATCGGTTTGTGAGTCAAGTAAACTATGATAAAATTAAAAATTATTTATTTAATTTCCGTAATTAGATTTTTTATCACCAAAACTCTTATAAAAACAAAAATCAATGGTTACTCACATAAGACTTCGTCCAAATCGGACGCCTTCGTTGCCATAATTGTTTGGATTAGCAGTCAATTCGCAGATAACTCGCTGAAGACATTGCTGTGCATTTTGCGATCGGACTAATTGTAACAAATGCTGTACATTTGATCCTTGTTGTGGTGCCGGTAAGGGTTCCGGTTGAGCACTACGACGGCGTCTGTTTGAATAAAAGGTACCCTTTTTTGTCTTATATCCCGTATGCGGACCATTCACTCTGTAATTGATTTAAAAATATTAACAATAAAAAAATTATTAAAAAACTATTGATTAACTATTTAATGAAAAACTTACACAAATGAATATTCCAAAGATGTCGGACCCTTACTCTTAGTCTCAACAACAGGTAAAGTGGGTAAAGTGGGAAGTGATGGCAATGAAAATGTGGGAATATTCAAATTGAATGCACCAACTTTTGATCCAACTTCTTTAATGTGACCACCAATCTTTGAAATACCGGTTCCAACAAATGATACACCTTTACCTACCAGTCCAATTCCAGCACCGGCAGCCTTGCAAAAAAAATAATTTTTTAGTATTATTAAAATAAATTGATTTTAAAATTAGTTAGTAATACCTTAGCCTTGAGTCCAGTGACAAAGATAACGGGTTTAACGGCCAAAGACGCCGCACCAACAGCTGCTTTCTTAGCCAAACCAAGTTTAGCTCCAATTATGGCTTTTCCAATAATAGCACCCTTTAGCGCACCAGCCTTTGCACCGATCAATGCACCGACTGGAGCACCAATAGCTGCACCGATACCCATTGGAACGGCTAGTTTGGCTGCTAACAGAGCTTTTCCACCTAAAAATATTATATAAATAATTAATTATAGTTTATTAAAAAAAAATAAATGAATGAATGGTTTTCATACCAAGAATTAGAGGTATTTTAATGGGTGCCAACAGAAGAGCTTTTTTGCCAAGAACTAGACTTTTTCCGACTCCGAAACCTTTGGCAGCAGAGACTGCCTTATGAGCCGCACTGAAACCGATCATACTTTTGCCGACTCCCAAATGCACTGACTTTTTGGCCGCACCGATGGGATCGATACAGTGGACGGGTGTCAACAGTGACACACAACAGACAGCGCATATTACTTGCAATAGTTTTGTATTCATTGTTTTTTTAACAAAAGATGAATTCACTTCTTTAGACTTTGACTTTTGCAATCAACTGATGGTCAAACTGAAGAGATGTCTGAGTTTTTATAGTTTTGAAAATGAATAGAAAGTGAGTTAAATTTCAGTGAAATTTTCACAAAAATAGTGCAATAATTGGTCAGTAGGTCTTCAAATGAAAACAAATGTTAAGATTCACTGTCCGAGTCTATGGATTAATCTATTTTTTTGTTACAACTGACCCTCAATTTATTGGGTCAACCAAAGAGTTTTAGAGCATTATATCTATAATAGATATACTTAACAAACAAACTAATAGTAAAAACAAAATATAAACAAAATTATGATAAAAATAACAATTTTGGATAAACTTTGACACAAATCTTAATCATTTTTCAAACACTGACCAACATTTTTATAAACTTTTTAAAGTACTTCATAATCAGTGTATCAATTAATAGGGAAAAAACCTATTTTTTGACAACTTTTCCAAGATTTTAATTTTGTGCCAAAAAAAGTGATTATAACTACTAATAATAACCTCTTTTATATGATAACTATAATTGAAAACTAATAACTAATTCACTAAATAATAATAAATCAAATCTTTGTTTAAGAAAAAAAACTTTTTTATATAAAAAAATTAATAACGAAAGTCTTGTCTTTTAATTCACGCTTTTTATTAAGTTTTTTAAATCAAATGAAAAATATTTTGTCTTAAATTATACACAAAACAAAGTTAACCATCACTTTCATTATTGGTGTTCAGATGGCATACTCTTTATAATGTCTGAATCTCCGGGATCTGTGATGGATAGCGAACAGACCCTAAAATATTTTCCACAAGCAGTTCCCAACTCGATGTTGTTGCCGGTGTAGTGATGGACACCAGTCTTGGCCAACATAGCGTAGTACTCGATCTCAGACTTCCTCAGCGGCGGTGTATTGTTGGCAATGATCACCAGTTTGGCCTTACCCTACAGACAACAACATATCAGTTAATTAGTGACCAAAAATCGGTAATCAAATTGCTTAGCAATAATGACATACCAGACGGAGTGACTTTAGTGTCTGTTTATAGCCGAAGCTATATTTGCCGGACTTCATGACGAGTGCCAACCGAGAGTTGATACTCTCCAGAGTCTTCTTCGACTTCTTTTCGGTCATTATTTCGACGATATATCCGTGAAATGGCAAAACTCGTGACAAATGACACACTATTTAGTCGACTGTTTGATCCAAAAGGAAATGGCGTTCAAAAGGGAAATACTGTTTACACACACATGTGATCCACACATGTCTTGCACTGACATCTATGGATCAATCAGTGCTATCATTGTATGTAATATTTGTTTGCATTTGTTTTTATTATTCATTCATTAATTTATTCATCATTTTTGGTCACTAATTGTCTGCCAATTTAGCCGATATTCTACCGAATCGACCGAACAAGTTGTACATCGACTGGATTGTTGGCCAACCCATCGATCGGTAAATTATGTCTAAACTAAAATCTGGCAAAAAAGTGGTCGAAAAGGTGATACACTCGACGCCAATGCAATTGTGGATTAGCGCCGGTCTGGCACATCCCGGACCACCATTGGGACCACAGTTAGGACAGGTATGACATTGATATTTGACGTCTGATTGTTGACTAATTGAATGTCTTCGGGATGTCTTAACTCAAGAGAGGCATAAACATCGCTCAGTTTTGCAAAGACTTTAATGAGAGGACAAAAGACGTCAAACCAGGAGTTCCTCTGCCGTGCAATATATCCATCAATGTATGGCATAACTCTTGTATTGAATAATTGATTTTTTTATGACTTAATACCGTTTGTTATACACCGATAGGCCGACCGAAGCTATAATCTGACGATAAGAGTACCACCGCTCACATATTTCATACGACAGGCTTCGGGATGCGAAAGGGGAGCCATCATTCCCAGCACCGAAACGGCCGGTTATCTCAGCGTTAAACATGTCTATGAAATTGCAAAAGTCAAGAGCGCTGATCCCATCTATGACTGCGTACCACTCAATAAGATATGTGAAGATATCATCGAATCGGCCAAAACGTGTGGCATTAAAGTAGTCTACAAATTGGATAACGAATGGTATAAAGAGTTTCTGATTGAAAGACAAAAGATTGTCGAACAACAACTCAAAGAACTGGATGAGAAACGACAGGCGAAGATGTTGAGGACCGGATAAGTTCCAAAAACCATAATCTCATCGATTATCACATAATTATCTTTAAAATAGTCATTAGATTTTTTTCTGTAGAAATTTATTGTATATTCAAAATAAATTTACCGTAAATTAAATACTATTCGAAACAAATTTTTTAATATATATTTTAAATATGAAATTATTTTTTAGTCAACTCAACGATGTTTTGTCTTATTATTCATTATCTTCTTTCTCTCTCTCATTGCATTTCGTTTTCTCTTTTTCTCCAAATATTTATCCAATTTTCCAGATTTCTTCAGATCCTTAAACCTCTCGACGAGTTCCAGTCGTTTAAGAGTTGCTATTAAAATGAAATCAATGAAAATAAATTATTAGTATAAGAAATAAGAAAAAATAGTGAAAAATGTTTACATTTGTTAACAAATGTTTTCTTCCGTTTCTTTGATAACGACTTGTCGTCGCTGTCCTTATCAGTCAATTCTTCCTTCAATTTATTCCTAATATTTGTCTCAATTTGTTTCTTCTTTTGTTTCATCTCATGAGAGATCTTCTGATTTTTCATTCGTTGCAATAAAAATTGTAATTCTTTTCGTTTTTCTTCATTCTTTGTCTTTTTCAACATTTTCTTCAATTCATTCAATTCTTTATCTCTCATATCATTGATGAATGAATAGGTCTTATTGAAGACACTTTCCGAGTATTTTCCGCTTCGATCGTCAAAACGGGGATCTATTCTGTCATCTGTTTCTACATTTTTCTTCTTAATTGGAAATACTTTTCTCAATTGACTGACCGGTCGTTTCGATGATATCTCTTGTGGTCTATTCTTGTTCGCTCTTTTCATAATTCTTTCGTTATTATTATTCTTTTGAATCACTTTTTTCTGTTCATTATTTGCGGTAAATTTGGTGACAATTGTCTCGTGATATCGTTTTGTTCCCATTTTGTCCGACAATTTCAATAACTCCTCAAATGGTGTTTTCGATAACTCTGAGGCAAAAAAAAATAATTGTGATAAATGAGAATCAGATAATCAATTATATATTTATTAATGTTATTCACAATAATCATACCATTTCTTAATGTTTTTTCGTTTTCTTCCTCGTCTTCTTCTTCTTCTTCTTCTTCTTCTTCATCGTTATCTTTGGTTTCAATTTTCTCTTCATTATTATCTACTTCTTCACTATTACTATCGTTGTCTTCTTCTTCATCTTCTTCTTCACCATCAACTTCTTCCACTTCACTATTATCATTGTCTTCATAATCATCTGCAGAGTCATAGTCTTCAGGATCTGAGTTCATCGTAACTGAAGATGTAATGTCAACTAAAAAACAATTAAAGCATTGAATTGATAGTCAAAACACAACACAAAACATATAAACATTGGTCTCACGTGACTAGTGTTACATTCATTGAGTGTTTTAAACACAATTGACTTACAAAAAGTTATTTTAGATTTAATTTTATTGTAAATTAATTTCAAAAAAAATAAAAATTCTAAACAAATAGAAATTATCTATAAATATAAAACAATAGATTTTTATTGGAAAAAATAAAATTATTTCATTGATTAGTATTTAATATATATATAAATTGTTTAATAAACTGTAATCTCATAATAGACTTAGTATTGATGGGTATATAAGGAGTTAGTATTATATGTTTGATTGGAAGTGTGTGTCTGTAGACACGTCTGAACGTATGATCGCTAATTAGTAGCAGATCTGCTCAGCACTGGTCAGCAGTCAGTTCACACAAATTTCGTACAAATAAACACTAGTCTCCCGTTTGCACCGTTTGTGACGCACGGTTGAGACCAGGGTTTCAGGGAAGGCCTCCTTTAGACAGTTGTTTGTTTGCCGGGGGTTTAGGCCTCCAATTCTCTCATAATTTAACGACACTTCCATTTAGGGCTCCAATTGAGTGTTGGATTGCCTTCTTTTGCTTCAATCATGTGTAACATACTTTGTGTGTGACCCACACTATACTAAACTCTAATGTATTTGCAATACTGTATAATAATAACAATAATAATATGTTTTTATGAATTAAAGTTTTAAAGTTTGTTAACTTTTTTTTATTAAATATTTATTTTCAATAAAACATAATTTCGTTGTTTATTTTAATAATCAATTATCGCTTAACTTTATAAAAATATTATTTAATATATATATATATTTATTATTATAATTTATTTGTTTATAATTTTTTAACTATTTTTGTTTGTTTTTATAAACTATTAAAATGAATTGCAAATTATTTTTTGCCAATTATTTGTCCAAAAGTTTACTTTTCGGTAATATTCATAACAACAACTATTGGTTAGTTCGCCGATTAGGTTCACTAAGTGTTGGCCAATCGGCTCAGTTGTCAAAAGTGTTTACCGAAGCCGATGTCTGTGAATTCGGTAAACTGACCGGTGATTATAATCCAATTCATTTTGATTACAAGTATTGCTCCAAAACTAAGTTTTGTAAACCAGTAGTTCACGGGTCACTTACCAATGGGTATATATACTGTATATATAATGTTCAATACTTACTATCATATCATATATTTGGTGATCATTTTAATTGATGTCTACGCTTACCATCCGAACAACAGACTGGTCGGTGCTGTGATGGGAACACTACTTCCCGGTCCCGGAACTGTTGTCGTCCAACAAACCATTAATTACACGAAACCATGTAATGTGTAAAATATTTTTTAAAAATCTATTTATATTAATATAATTAGTAAATGAATTGTTTTGTTAGTATATATCGGTGAAGAAGTTTGTGCTGAAGTGATTGTAACGGATATCAAGAAAAAGTTCATCGATTGTCGCTTCAGTTGTAAAACAAATGATGGAAAGGTTTGTTATTTTAATAGATATTTGTTTTTAATTAGAAAACATTTTTGTAGTTAATTACTGAATATATTTATTAAATATAACTTTAGACAGTAATCGAAGGTACGGCAAAACTTATCATGTTTTCATAGAAAAATAATTTTTATTAATTAATATTATTAAACAAATTTTTATAATAATAAAATGTTATTAAAAATATATTTAAAATAAAAGCTAATAAAATATATTTATAAATTACAAAATAGTTTTTGTTCATTTGGTTTTCTCTCTTTGAATACAATGCGCTGAAACATTGCATCCAAAATACATAATCAAAAGTGTCGGTAATAATGGTGTGGGAAATGATGTGAATATGCGTTGTATAAAACACAGACCGACGTCCCAATTGGACAGGAAGTATAGGTTAGAAGCATAGGCTATGGCAAAGAAGGGACTCGAGATAAGGGCGTTGAGTCTATCATTCATTTCAACGGAAATATGGCTCTAAAGATAAAAAAAATAATATTTAAAAACTATTTCAAAATCTAGTTTTTTTAAAACACACTCGTAATGAAAGCCATATGTTTGTCGTTTGAATTGATGTACCAATGATTTCAGCGGAAACACCGAAAAAGTTGAGTGCAGTCCACACGACAACCGCCCTATCCATGCCGTGCCAGAGACAGATACAGGAGAAACAAATAAAACCGGCCAATAGTTTGCGTAATGGATTCCATTGGGAACCGATTATTGGTTTATAAAAGTATCTTAAAAATAAAATTATTTGAATTTCTGGTTAATATTTATTTTGATTTATAAAATATGAATTTTATTATTACTTTGTTAGCCATAAGTGAAGTCCTCTGTCGAAAGTACGCCATAAGTAGACACAAGAATGAATACGAGCGATACATTTGGGCGGCGGTGGTATTTCAAAGCCATCGATCATTGCTATTGTGGCAACTGATCCGTATAGTATAAAGTACTTGACGAAGAACATCAATGGTAAAGCAAATCCTAAGCCACATAAAGACCAGGTGTCCAACATTTGGGTGATCTCTGGATAAAATTGGACTGAACTCGAAAAAACAAAGTGAAGCAACAGTTCATAGATAATTGTCCAAAACGTGAAGCGAAATATTTGTCCGACAATTGCCATTAAACGATCGGAAGTCCAATCGGACTTGAGTTTGTCCATCTGAGGAAAGACTAATTAAATATCATTTACCGGTAAATAAATACTCAAATCTCTAACATCACTAATAAAAGTATTGTATTGATGTATGGGTCCCGTGAAGAATGCCGGCAAATATAGACAATAGGCTAAACATTGGATCAGTTGATGTGATTTTAATGACATATGAGTGTGACTTTTGATACGATCGATGGATAGGCTGAGACACTTGGCGTTCAGCCACGCCATACATACTTCAAACAGGAATTGTTGTCTTTCGTTAAGAACAAGCCATGTCTTCACTGGAAATATAAGTGAATTGTGAACTGAATATAACGTGAAGACAAACAACGAATAACAAAGATATTGTTTTCCAAAGATGTGAATCACAAGAGAGACAATAATATTAATCCAAACAATTAGTAATGATTTCACGTTTAAAACTTTAATTATTGCCAAAGATGTGTAGATAATAAAAAAGTGCGACAAATACTATAAGAAGTCAAGTAATAAAACAATTAAATCAATATATAATATATAATATAAGTCATCATTAAAGAGATGGTACTGTACTTTGACTTTGTATTTGGTTATCAATTGAGTTAAGAGTATATAAACAACGATAAAAACAAAGTTCTTGAGGAATGTGTGTCTTATGGCACTCCACTCGTAATCCGAGACATCCCGAAAGCCGCCGATAAGCGGCCAACCTTTGGCCACATCTTTGGGATCAAGCAATTGAATCAAACCTAACAAACAATAATAATTCAATGGTTTGACAACAAAGACAAATATAACAAACTTTTTGAACGATTTATGAATGAATATAAAGCATAACAAAGACTTGATATCCAAAGAAACCAATAAATGGTTAATTCAAATGTCTTCATGTCTTTGACTGATCATTTGGGACAACAATTCATGTGATTCAGTAAAAAGTGAAGACTTTTCTGTTAAAAACTTTTTTGAATCCAAAACATTTGATAAGTTGTGAACCAATCGGTGATAATCATTGCCATAGATGTCACTGAAGTCAAGACAAACATTTGATTTGCTTTTTTGAAGACATTTTTCAATACAAATAAAGTATTGTTTTGTTTTCTGTTGTGTTTTTCTCACATCTAAATCACCGCTCATTTGATCCGCAAATTTGTTTCATAAAAATCTTCACATGAAATACAATGTCTGACTCGAAGACCAATACAACTAATCGGTGGTTAAAGTTTTTCACGGACTCGGGACTGCCAACAGGTGTGGCCACAAACTATGCCATTATCTTCACCGAACATCGCATCCAAAATGATATGTTAAGCGACTTAACCAAAGAGATTCTCTACGATATGGGTATCAAAACAATAGGTGATGTGATTGCCATCTTAAGACACGCTAAGAGTGTCGATCACGACAAGACCAGAGACAAACTGCTCGGTTCGTATGGAGTGGACAGCACTGAGAAACCGACGACCACAACAAAGACAGCGTTGCCATTAACTCATCGGTTTAAGACATTGTCGACAACACAGAACTCGACACAAAACTCGACCGCAAATATAGCGAGTTTGAAGCGTTCGGCCGACAGTTCGGGTTTGATTCGGACCACAAACGCGAAGATCAGACGAATTATTGTGGCCGACGACGATCTCGACGACTCGTTTGTTTCTAACGGATCCAAAACTGTGTCCGTTTCAAGACTCGAATCTCAAAAGACTTCGTTGGCGACCAAATCATCGGTTTTCAATCGAATTGGAAACGATAAACAATCGGACAATTCATCGATATTTTCACGTTTGGGAAACCAAACTCCCGTTGAGTCAAATGTTTTTAATAACCGTCGGGTGACTATTAACGCCAACAGTATTAGTACAACACTTCCAAACAAGAATACTATTAGATTAAAACAAAATATTAAATTAGTTAAGAAGCCTATTGTGGCGCCCAATGCGTCCAATCGTTTGAGGAGTGGTCACACAGGTATGACAAGTCAATTGACATCTCAACAGATAACAAATGCCTTTATTATATTTCAGAAATAGTCAGCGTTAAGGACAGAATCGGTACATCGACATCGAGTCCGGCGGTCAAGAGAGCAATCGTCAATCGGACAGCCATTTCTAATCTTTCAGCCAATCGGACAATCATTTCTAATCTTTCGGCCAATCGGACAGCCATTTCTAATCGGATGAAAACTTCATCGCCTGCCGTATTGCAGGCCAAACGAATTGCTATGAGACGAGCGGCCGATTCGACGATCCAAACAAATAAGACAATATCGTTGCGGAAGAACATCTTTGACCGATTGGGTCCCATCTCTTTATAGTCGGGTTTTAATTTATGTTTCAAATCACGTCATTTATATTTCAGATTTCAAAAATCAATTATATTTTCCATGAACTCATTGATTGATTGATTGTTAGATCAAGTATTTTATAATTAGTGATCATTTCAAGTGATTGGCAATTCTATGCTTTTGTTTTTTCGTGTCTTATCAATGGTTTTTTTGACTTCAGTTTTATTTTATTTTTTGCTATTATTTTTAAATTAAAAAATGTTTTCAAATTTTTCAATTTGTGAAACGCTTTGATTCCGTGTTTTTTGTTGTGATTTACAAATATTATTTAAATAAATTTAATATCAATTAATAACATTTGCGTTGATTATCATCAAAAAGCTATATACCAGTAATATAAATATTTTGCTATAACTGGTAAACAAATTGAATAAATGTATTTAAAGGATAGTTGTTTATGCATTGAATATACAGACAATTATATGAATTAAAAATAATTTGATTACTGATTATAACACTTATATAATTGTAATTGATTTATTAAAATTAATTTATTCTGTAGTGATTTTAATCAATATCTCAAGTTATACTCTATAATATAGATAATTCATAGATAATTGTCCAAAACATATAGCAAAATATTTGTCCAATAGTTGTCTTTAAACGACCGGAACTTCAGTGTAGTCTATATTATGGTTTAAATATTCAATTGATTCCGAAGTGAGACTGAAGTTCCGGTCGTTTAAAGATAATTATTGGAAAAATATTTCGCTACACGTTTTGGACAATTATCTATGAATTGCTTTTTCACTTTGTTTGGAGTTAAGTCCAATTTAATCCAGAGATCATCCAAATGTTGAAACACCAGGTCTTTTCGTGGCTTAAGATTTACGTTACCGTTAAGTATTAATATTTTAGTATAATTTATTATATAATTTATATACTCATCACTAGTGTAATGATTAATAATTTTTATACTCTATTAAATAGTTGTTATAATAGTTGCTAAAAAAAGTCAAATAGTTGTTAAAATAGTTATTTAAAATGTATTAAATAGTTGTATATAGTTGCCAAAAAAGCCAAATAGTTATTTATTTTCTTATAAATATTTCAACTGATATATAATTCACTTGTTTTCAGCATATTTACAAAAATGATTTATATAAATAAACTGATTATTTCTATTGTTAAAAAAGTAATATGAGTTAATAACAGTTTACACATTTTATATAATTTATATAACTATTACTTTTTGTTTTTAAAAATATTTGTGCAATATTTTACAATTTAATGCTTATATTTTTCAAAATCAATGAAATAATTATTTATAAGTTTTTATAGTTTCTAACCCAACAAATAGTTATTTATAGTTATAATAAAATTTCGGAAATAGCGTCCACTGGTCAACTTCGGTGGACATACAAAGTCCCAGTTATAAGCGTTGAACCGACAAAATAATTTTTTTAGTTGGAAATAAAGACACTACTCATTACATAATATCAATAATTTGAACGACTAACGACTTTTTTTTTAAAAAATATTAATTAATCTCTGAATAAATTAATGTGTATTATTGAAAAATGAAAATTTTAAAAAAATAAAATACCGGTACTCAAGGTATTTTGTGTTTTTGTTATTTTAAATAAATGACTTAAAGGTTACCAAAAATCATACTTTTATTAAAATATTTTGTTTAATTTTAATCTAGAGAGAAATTATTCCCTAAAAAATAGTTAAAATTATTTATTTAGGCAAAAACTTAGTTTTGTAGCAATACTTGTAATGAAAATGAATTGGATTATAATCACCGGTCAGTTTACCGAATTCACAGACATCGGCTTCGGTAAACACTTTTGACAACTGAGCCGATTGGCCAACACTTAGTGAACCTAATCGGCGAACTAAACAATAGTTTACCAATAAATTATCGAAAAGTAAATTTAGAAGTAAATGCATTGTAATTATAAAAACAAATTTACAATTGACCTTGGTAAAACAAATATGTTATAATTGCCAAAAATACTTTATTATTAAACAAAATCTATTAAGTTAAACGACCTTGGTTAATCTAGTAAACAAAAGAGTATCGTAATATCATGATTAATATGTTTATTTAAAAAACAAATTTTAAACTTAAAATTCAATAAAAACATAATATTGTTTATCCCAAACTAATATATATATATATATCATAAATTTTTAAAATGTTATAAAAATATACTGTATAAATATTCTAATAATTTGTGCTTGAAACAATTAATAAGTAATATATGAATTGAAAAATTATTAATTTTTGTTAATTTTATTGATAAATTTGAAAAATAATTATTTATTTATTTCACAATATAATTGAATGCATTGTGTTATCAATAATAGTGTATATATAGTGTTGCCATTCGATAGCTATGAGAACAGTAATCTCAAGAATTTTATTTTTTTAGCAAAAATACTGTAATATTAATGACAACTAAACGGAAATGAAATATAAGTTTATAATTAATTTTCTCTTTAAAAACATAAATATCTGTAAAATAACATATTTATAGTCAATAATAGTAATACAGTTGTTATGAACAGATATAATGTTTAGGAATAATCTGTGAACCGATTGGCTGACAGTATAGTCAAACCGCACCCACTCTTGCAATACAATGATGTCATACATTGCTTTGTCATACAATAACTATAGTATATCTAGTGTTGTCAATATTGTAAATTGTTACGCAATTATTTTGTTTGGTCGAAATTTGAAAAACTTGAAAATACACTAATATTTAAAAAATAATATTATATTAAGAATTAAATAATGATAAAATATCTGATTTACAAAAAAAATAAACATAAACAATCTACTAATATTTAGTTAATTAAATTTTACTTGATAATAAATATTGTAATTAATGAGGTAATATGTTTTTAGCAATGAGGCAAATGTATAACTAATAAAAAAATTTTAAAAATAATTTATTTAAATAAAATTACAATTGTAATTTCGTACAATCACCTTAATAGACATAAATAATTTAAGCAAAAATAAAAATTTGAATTGTAGTTAAAATTTCCAACACTAGATATAGCCATAACATAGCATTGAAGGGCTTTTCCTTTATTTTTTGACACCATTTCTATACCTATGAGTCATACATACAGTCAGTCATTGTATGAGTCAATACATAGAGAAATATAATAATAAATATTATTATTATTATTGTTATACAAATTGATTGACTTTTCTTATAGACAATCAATGAATTAAATTGTTTTTTATTTATAATTTTCATTAATTTATTAATTAAACAAAAAAAATACTAAAAAAAGTTTATTTACTTAAAAAAAGTTATTATATAATGTATTCAATGGTGTAATTGAATGGATATAGCGATTGAAAACAACAATACAACAAACGAAACAACAATTATTAAGACAACAACTGTATTAACTACCAGTGCTTTCGGGATGCCGTCGACCACTACTACAACACAGTCGGCCACCAGTCCGGGCAATGTATGTCCACATTAGTCATGTGTCGCTAATTTTCATTGCTTTACTTAACAATTAAATGCATTGCTATGTATGGCATATCATATTGAATATACACTAATTCATACACACGTTATTATATGCCATTACAATACAATACAATACAATACAATACAATAGTATTACTCTATTATTACCGTAACTTAATTCCAGTACTATTACAATATTAACTTAATTATGTAGATATTACTATATTGTATACTAATTTTGTTATGTTGTATATAATAAAAGTGTCATGGTACATATAACATTGTCTATATACTGTAATATGTGCACAGATTGACAAATTTTTTTGATTAGCAAAAACTAAAAAATAAATAAATGTTAACTTAATAATAATTATAACTTTCTGTATATGATATCATAAATGATAATTAAAAAAAATAGTTATATAAATATTTGACATTAGAGTATAAGATATTAATGAGACATTATTTTTTTAAATTTATATTAACAATGTCATTTTTTGTTACAAAATATTCAATGGCATCAAATAGTTATGTTATGTAATATTGACATATTTGTACTAGTACATACAACTATGTATACAGTATATCATATAATATATGTATAGTTTAGCATATTTGTGTGACTTGCTTATTAGTTTTTTTTAATATTGATAATATTAATATAATTTTGTTTTTTATTATTATTAAATTACTGTATTATTAATTAAATGAAATGATTTTTTAAAAATTTTGTAGTAATTTTTATAACACATTTATAACATATTATTATTATTAAGCAAATATTTCCTCGTTTTTTACTGAAATACTGTGCAAATTGTTTATTAATTTTTTGTTATAAAACTTGTTTATTGAAAAAGTATACACAGTTTTATGAAAATAAACGCATTTTATTTTAATTAATATTTTTATTTCTAAACAAAAAATAATTTAGACATAAAATAATTATTGTTTTTGTATAAACCAATAGTTTGGCCAAATTGGAGGTCTGACACAAACTACAGCAACACTGACACCGACGACATTGAAGAACATCGAGGAATCCTTTATGGAGATTATTCCGCCCCAACCGCGAACTCATCCACAAGAGGCCCGATTTATGCCACCGTTGGTCAACATATCGGCAAACTATGTGTCGATTCACTCTAATAATGCTTATAATGAGTTTAATAATAACAGCTCTAATAACAGTAACAGCAATACCAGTGATTACGATATGCCATCTGATGATTACGAGACCGATGAGGACAGCTCTTCGAGATCTGAGTCCAAGTGGAACGCATACGTTGACCGCAACAGTAATGCTAACCAAATGCAAGAGAACGGCCTCAACAATAAAGAGACAAAAGTTACTGTCACTAAAACTAGGGGTAGGAGTGGTCGCAAACCTATGAGAAATGATAAGGTATTAAATCAAATGATTAAGTCTTATAAACAAAATATATAAATATTGATATTTTTTATAAATAGTTAACACCAGAGGAAGAAAAGAAACGACATCAACGTCGAGAGCGCAACAAACAGGCGGCCGCTCGCTGTCGGAAGCGACGAATGGATCACACGAATACACTTCTGATTGAAACTGAAGGTTTGGAAGACAAAAAGCAATCTTTGCTTAAAGAGATGGAACTGTTGCAGAAACAGAAAGAAGAATTGGAATATATATTGTCGACACATAAGATGTCCAATTGTAAGATGCATTCATCCAAATTGCAAGAAATAGACGTCAAACCTGTTGTTAGCAACGGATCTGTTGTCACAATCAACTCTAATTTTACTCCAAAGTTGCGGCCAAATACACTCTCGTTAAACACTGTCTACGGCGACTCATCGATTGCAGACTCGGGAATACCCATTCAGACCCCATCGACGGGTCTGTTTCTGGAGGCCCTCTCAGAAACTGGAACTGGTTTGACACCCGTCCTCACACCTGTTATCACTCCATCTTCGTTAACATCGAACTCATACAACATTCGCAACAAATTGAGTCCAAATCAGGAAAAGAAATTAACTCATCTTTGAAAAGGAAATTACAGCTAAATATTGTATTTTATTTATTATTATTATTTGAATACATTCTCATTATTTTAGTCATTATATGAGTAAAATGATAAAAAGGCCGGTATTTCTAATGCTATAACTTTAAAAAAAAATAGATTTTGATAACCCATAACAATCATTTATAGTCATTATTTAATACATATAAAAAATATTTTGAATACATATATATATATATATATATTTTGTCATATGAAACAGTTTTTAATCGATTTCTATATTTACTAATTATAAAAAATATATTTTGATAATAAAAAAAATAATCATAACTTATATATACACATAAATATAAGTTAATGAAAGTTTATATAAGATATTTTAATAATCATCAAAATAATCTCAAATGTAAATTTTATTTAATAAGTAACACATTAATTAATGTTATTTTTTGTTTGTTTTATCGAATTGTGATTTTAATTTTACTTTCAATTTTAACAATTTAAGTGATGAATCATTTTGTGAATGCTTATCATTTGATATGTTTTATTTATGTTTAGTTAAAAGATAAATACTGTTAAAATTTATTTTAAGTTTACATTATTTAAAACCATAATTTTCATTATTATTTTTTATTTTGTTTTTGTTATTACTAAAAATATTTTATTTTGATAAGTCAAAAAATTGATAATGTACATTTTATATTTATCTAATATTGATATTTAAATTAATAAATACTATAAATTGATAGTTTTATTATATAAAATAAAATAATTTATTTTAATCCAAAATTGTACTTTTTATTTATTAGTTATATATATATATATATATATATATATATATATATATATATATATATATATATATATATATATATATATATATTAAAAATTAACAAATAACATCATAACAATCGTATGTAAAGTATATCAGTGTGTTAAGTGGCCTAAACATGACTGCGCCCGGAGATAAACCTCGGGGTTAGGAGAAGCCAATGATGAACAGCATCTGTCAAATGTTGCGATAATTAACAAGTTTATGGTTTTATTATAAATTTTTAGTTAATTTAAGAAAATGTTATGTTTTTTATTAGAGAAAATAAATCTCATGTCAAGAAAAACCACACACAAACACACAACTAATTTAGTTATTGAGATTAAATTTAATTTAAAAATGACACCATATAACTGAAAATAATTAACAATATTATGAACCATTGCAATAAATTATACAAAAATAGTCCAATTAATTACATCCCATAAATGTTGCTATTATTAATTGCTGAGAGATTTAACCTAATAATGATCATCACTGCATAAGTTTATACTATACACTCTTACTGTATATTTTGAAATAATACACAAAAAATCAAAAATTTTATTATTATTAAGTGGATAGTAGAGGATGGATAAAAATGTGTACATTTTTGAAAAAATTGTATTAATAAATCACACATTTTTTAGCGCAATGATATATAACCTGACCTTAGATTATGCTAAACATCGAGAATAATATATAACTTTTTTTTCGTAAACAATTTTGAATATCAAATACAAATATAAAGTTGAATCATATCTTATAACTACACCGTTATATTCCGGTATAACGGTGTGTGTGTGTGTGTGTGTGTGTGTGTGTGTGTGTGTGTGTGTGTGTGTGTGTGTACTGTATGTGTTTGGAGGACTAGGGAGTATTGGGAGGGGTCAGCCATTACATTATAAATTTTCTATCATATAATAAATTTTTTTGAGGACCAGTTATAAAAATAAGGCTCAAATTTGTTGCGATTTTCTACAGTTAAGACAAAATTTTAGGAAAAATAAGGTCACATTAGGAGTTCAGTTGTTTTTACTGTTGTTACTTATATTGCGAAAAAACATATAACAAAATTGGATGACAACTACTTTACTAACTGACTGACGGACAAAACAGTTGTGTTTGACTTCACATAAATTTTCACGTTTTTTGGTGTAAATGTTTGATAATCTTTTGATAGTTTCACTTCATTTAAAAACTGATTTTTTTCAAGAAAACTCTTACATTTAAAAAGTTTTTTTATCTAATGTGAAACTGTAGGGCATATATCACTTGCACCTACAGTTGTAATACTTTTTGATTTTTATAGTATTTTATAGTTAGTTTATAATTACTAAGTTTTTTTAAATTGTTATATTAAAAAAAATAATTATATAAATTAATTGTATTAAATTAATTTTGAAAATATGTTTTCGTTGTATCGAAATATAAAACACAAATATTTGCTATCAAATGCTTTATTTAATTTATATTTAATTACAATATTTATTTATATGAATAATATGAGTACAAACATCATATCAGCCAATAGGCGGACATCAGTTGAAAACACGGCTTTGTTAGCCTTTGAACACGGAGTCAAAGTACGCGAAGAAGCCAGTTGTCGGACACCTAAAGCACAGGTGGTTTATGTAAACACTACGGATCCATCAAAAGTATACCTTCCGAGAGCAACACTACTTCATCGTTGCTCTGATCTAAGCGGTTGTTGTTCTCACGCAACTCATACCTGTCGGGCAATACAAGAGTCGACTGTCGAGTTGTACTTCTTTACGGTGACACTACATATCAATGTAAACCATAAAAGCCATCATCGGGTCCGACAGCACCAGAAGATTGAAAAACTAATGTTCACTAACCATACTCTATGTGGTTGTCAACGAAGAAATGTCATCGAAAATATCAATGAGAGTGACAATGAAGTCTGATTTTATGTCAAACACTTGTATCTTATATTTTTAATTAATTAATTAACAAAATACTTATCTATTTTCAAATGTTTTATTCATTTTATTTCTCACTTCCAAAAAAATTAAATCATAATTTTTGATAAAACATTTTGTAATAAAACATTTTGCAACCAAATAAAAAAATATGATATTATCAAATGTAGTTTTCATTGAATTGTTATAATATGTTTTTATTAAATTATACGTTTATTATTATTATTATACTAAATCTAACATAAATTGTTTATCTATGTAAATAAAGTTTTAAGACAGGTTTTTTTTAATTTAAATTACAAATTTAATAATAAAAATTACGATTTTCCATTTCTCAAATTTACAAAAATGACAAATTATTTAATAACATATTAAATATCGTAATATTTACTACAAAAAAGCAATTTATTAAAAAAAAATTATATTACAACCCTTTCTATTTTAACATTTCCTATATTGTATTATTTATAACATACAATTAGTCAGACTATTTAATATAATTTTTATATAACATATTTTTAAAAATTAATTCATTCACAATGCATAATACAATTTTACTATCTATAGTAAATATTATAGTATTACTATAAATATTAAATATTATTTAATTTATACGAAAAAATATATAACATTATCATTATATAAATCTTTTTGAAGATTTATTTCAATATCTTAAACTTATATTTTTGCAACTAATGAATTATTGCCTACAATTTATATAACAACCTATTAAAAAGTTTTTCTAATTTTCAAACTTTTTAATTTACGAGTAATAAAACAAAATTTCAAATATAATAAATCAGTTATTAATATTAATTTTGATTTTTAATTTATTTTAAATAAGTTATTAGTTATTAATATACAGTATTTAAATATATATATATATGTTTTATTTTTTTTAGTTTAAAAAATAGTATTTACACTTTTGTTTTAACCAAATCGTGTTACTAATGTAATCAATTAAAAACGGTTAATTTGATTTTTTAGTGTATTATAATTTTTATTTAATATATTAATATTATTTTTTAATATTATAAATATAAAATATTATATTGAAAATTAATAGGAAATACAGATAATTATTTTATTAAATGTTATATATATATATAAATTTATATATATTTATATGTGTATTAAAGCAAATAATTAAAAATTTTCTCACTAACTTTAATGATATTGATTAATGATATTTTTGTAAATATATATAATAATTAAAAAAAAATCATAACTAATCTTTATTCTTTTAATTTAATAAACTTATTAAAACTAATAAAACTATAATTTTTAGAAAATTAAAATTTTATTATTAGATAATAAGTACTAAAATAGTTTTAAAACTTTAAATTTCACATTAACACTCTATAAACAAATAAATTAATTATTGGTATTTTGTCAAACTAAATAAAGTCATAATTAGTTTCTTGATTTCCAACTAAAAAACTATTTTATCAGTTTATCGCTTATAACCTATAACTGAGACTTAGTATATCCATCTAATATGGACGCTATGTGGACGCTATTCCCGTAATTTTATTATAACTATAAATAACTATTTGATGGATTAGCAAATATAAAAACTTATAAACAACTATTTTAACGATTTTTTAAAATATAAGCATTAAACAGTATATAAAATATTATTTACAAAATGATATAAAATTGTAAAATGTTTTTAATTAATATTATTTGTTGTTAACAATAGAAATTATTAGTATATTTGTGTACATCATTCTTGTAAATATACTGAAAACAAGTGAATATGATTTGCAATTATTAAAAAATTAAATATAACTATTTAGCTTTTTTAGCAATTATTATAGCAACTATATGACACAGTTTAAATAAATTTATTAATCAATACTTTAGTCATTATAATGGGATAGTTTATACACTATATATTATTTGTATTATTTATTGTATATACAGTATATATATTATATATAATATAATATAGATTTTTAAAAGTATTTCACACAAAATTTGAAAACTGTTTATTTTAAAAGCGCATCTTTATATTCAAAATACTGTATATATAACTACTGTTACATATATTAGGATGGATTAAGTGCTGCCAAAAGTGTAATTCACTGAGAAATGAGTCGACAATTACTGAAAACTTTTGATATTTATAGAAAGTCTGGGATGAAGTCAATTGACTCAACACTTAAGGTTGTGGTTGCCATTTGACTGCTCTGGGATTCATACAATCATTTAAACATATGAGACAATGTTGGGTGTGGTTATAGATACCTAAAAATTATTTTTTTACTATTTTATTAAATTAAAAAATATTTATTTATTTACTAAATGGGTAACCAAGTGTCCAGTTGTAGTAATGAGTGTGTGTCAGGAAAGTTGCGACAAAAACAAGATAACAATAATGTGCTGAAAGTTGGTGTTATGAAAGAGGATGATATCATATTGAAAGTCAATGCCGACAATAGACAAGTGCACAATACATGTGTTATTACTCAACCCCTATGGAGACATTCGGTACAATCCATCGATTTTAGACCAATTAATAATTTTAGAAAAGTAAGCTATAGATCATAATTGAAATTATTTTCTATAATTTATATCTTTTAAACATTTTTATGACAAACAACCAGACTTTTAAATATTAATAATATAAATTAATATATATATAGCACATCATTGAAACTATTTTTTTGTTAGATTTTATTTTTTTAAACAAAAATCTTAAATTTTAAAGTTATAAAAAATTATATAAAAAATAATATGTAAATATAAATTAATTATGCATTATCTTATTTATGATGATAATAATATTTTTTTGCTTTTAATTGAATCTAATTAACTCATTTGACAAAATAATATAAACAGTCGTTTAAATATAACAATTTAAAGTTACTAATAAACAAAATATATATTATATTTCAGTTAAAACCTGTTGTTTACCAAAATTTTATGTAAATTTTTTATTATATCTCTATCTATAAAATTTGTTGTGTAATTCAAAAATTTTTATTTTATGCATAAAAATTGCATTTTATATAAATATTTAATTAAAAAAGAAATAAATATTAATTTTATTTACTATAATAAAACACTATCAATAATTTACTTTTATAAATCACTATATATTTAGTATAGCTATACATCACTACTTCATTTAAATAAAAGGGTTGGTTATAACTTATAATAATATTAATATTATAGAAACTATTATCTAATAAATTTGTTTGAATATCGGGAACTAATTAATAAAAACAATTTGATTTTAAAAATTGCATTTCAATTATTATTATTGTCGGCTAACATAAAATGATCATATATTTAGCACTCGTTTTCGCGTTTCATAAATATATAGCTATAAACTTGTTTTATTGTATGAATGGTTTAATAAATACAGTATATTGGCGGCAATTAATTAAATACAAGTAAATTAGTCTCATTTCTAATCTAATGTAATATCTATATGATTTTTTTCGTTTACTATTTCAAGATTTGTATGTTTCTAAATTTGAACATTTTTTTATACAAATACATATAATAAAAAGTGTGTATCATATAAATAGTTATATAATTAAAATATTTATAAAAGTATATAAGCATCGTTTAATAGAAATAATTATTAATAAATTATATAAATATATTTAATCATAATTTATGGCAATTTATAATATATATTTATACATACAGTAATTTATAAATACAATTATGCAATATATTTATAAATTAGACAAAAAACTTGTTGCAATTATTTATGATTTTGATTATAATTAAGCTTTAATTTTTCATTGAGTAACCAAATTTTTGTAATAAATTATCATGTTCATTGCTAATGTCATGTTTGATATCAGTAAAAAATAAGTAAAAAAATTTGTGAAAAGATATTGCAATGAAAAAAATTAATTAAAATATTAAAATTATTTTTTATTTTATTTATTTAATAACACCACTTTATATTTATAGTACAGGTATTTTTTTGCTAAAATATTATAACTAATATAATATTGGTACAGTATTTACAGTATTAAGTATCTATAACAAGATATAAATTATATATCTATTAAATATTTCAAATAGTGTGAGAGAGTATTATTTCAATTTATTTTTTAAACAAAAAATTTTAAGATTATTCTCAAGTTTCAAAATGAGTTATTTTTGTAAATTATTTTTTATTACATTTTAGCTTTAAAATATCTATAAACAGTATTAATGATTAAAAAACTAAATTTAAACTATTATTTCGATGTGTGTATATTCGATGAGTAATTAAAAAATCAATTAAACTAAAAATATTTTAATTAGATTGAATATTTACAATTTACCAAACTAGAAATTTTTATTATCAAAATAGTTTCATAATTAATAATTTTAATTTAATATAATAATTTAATGATATCTTTAACTATATAACTAAAATCAATTTATTATTGTATTGCTGTAATGAAGGGAGGGATAAAAAAAAGATTCTGTATTGACGTCTATTAAGCATTACTCCCTAAATAATACTGCAATGCCTTAATTTAATTGAATATACAGAATAGTATCGTTAAATTGTAAGTAATAATAATAATAGCTTTTATATACTAATTTATTTGATCATGCTGATATTATTGTTTTGTTTTAACTTTATTACTATTTTTGTTGACAAAATAATAGCTTTTTACTTCCTTAGATTTATTAAAGTAATATATATTTCAAGTAATATGGGAATGAGTAATGCAATATATATAATATAAATTGTTAGATAATATATAATAAATTATTATTAGAAAATTACAGAATTTATTTTAGTAACTATTGTTTTCTGTAAATAATCAATTAAATTAACGCTTAGAATATATTAAACTAAATTTACATTTGAGATTAAATACATTTACATTCAATTAATTTAATTGCTTTATATTATTATTTTTTGTTATGAAATACTAAATTATAATGTATTAATTATTGGATTACATAATATGTTTTAATATTATAGTTATATTAGTTAAAATAGTATGTTAGTTAAATTAATGCAATAATATCAATAATATAACTAAATTATGTTAAGAAAAAGTGAGCCCAACTGAAATATTTTTATTAATTTATTTTTAGTATATTGTAAATTATACACTGAGATAAACTTTATTAATAAATCAATTATAACCAGTAAATATTTTATATAAAGTACTGAATACAGTATACTGAAAATTTATTAAATTTTTAGATATCAATTATTCAATTTACTAGATATAAAAAGTTTATGACAGTTATTCCAAATTAAGTCAACATGATAACTTTAAAAATAAATACTTAAAAACTAAAATACAAATTAAACAAAAATATGTAAAAATTTATTTTTATTTAAGCTGATTGTTCTTAACATATTTGCCTTTTACTGTACTATTAATTTTATAACTTAATCACACAGTAGTATTTGTAAAGACAATAGTTAGCAAACAATATTAATATACTGTAGAATTAATACCTGTATAATAAAAATATTTTAATGTATTTAATAAAACTCGAGTGCATTTAGTCATTAACTACCAAACTATCAAATGCATAAATACTGTAATACAGTACTATTATTATAATATGTTGTAAACATTTTATAAAATTAAATATCTAACAGTAACTACACTGTTATTTTTAGTTAAATAAATTTTAAATCACTTATATTTTCCATAAAAACATAGCATTACTGTATATAATACTATTAGCAGTAAATATCGATATTTTGAACGCGAAAGTAATGTTTATTAATAAATGTAAACTTATTGTCAGTAATGTAAGGCTTGGCTTAACCTTAAAGTGTAAGTCAAGGCAAACAAGTCTTCAATGGTGTCGTCAAAAGACTTCTTTATATTAGCTAAATATACTTTATATTGAAAACATTGAATTGAAATCAACTTTTCTAATACTATATAGTTTAACAAAAGTTTATTGTGTTTATAATTATAATTGAAAAACAACATAAAAATAAAATTTTTTATTGTTTTTATTTATTGTAAAATCAAACTACTAATTATAGTTCAATAATATATTTACATATGTATACAAATATTTAAATGATTATTGATTAGTTTCATCAATTTATATTAATGCTAATTAATTACAATACTTGACTATTATTACTTCAAATTAAAATTTTGACATTAAATCGATAGTATAATTAAGTTATTAACAACATTTTGTAGTAATAGTAGTAATAGTTTTGATGACTAATAAAGTGTGAAAATTTTTCGTCAAAAAAAACTTGTCAGTCATTCAAAAAATGTTAAGATAAAGTGTTTTGTTTAATAATATTTTTGTTTTTAAATGTAAAAATCAATAATAAAAGTGATCTAAACATTATTTTTAAAAACTTTTTTAAACAGCCAATTATTTAATGATAATTTTGTTTTATAATTAATATATTGAGTATATATGATATATTAATCAATGTTTTCTAAACCTCTCCCAAAGCACTCATCAAAGTATTATCCAAAGATTGTAAGCATTGGTTCCGACTATTAAAATATTTTTATATTTCGCTAACAAAAATAATGAGTTTTTTGAAGACATGAGCACTGCATGTGAGGAACAGTATGTCTGGTATGGTATGTGTGTGTGTATGCCATGAATGCCATGCACTCCGGTGTCCACATTAATGACTGACTGACTGACTATACAACCCTATTATACACCCAATCATTACTATTCACATTCAATGCGTGTTTTTTTCTAATGATATCTTTTTAAAAATATTACTAATTAAACACAACATTAGTTATCTGACAACTAAATTGATGTCCGATTTGTAATAACACTAATAATAATAATAAATATTTATTTTCACAAAAATTATGACTAATTGATATATTTTTTTGAGTAACATTTTTATCATATATCATATAAACTGATAACTAAATATCATAACATAATTAATTAATTGTTATGAATCTCGTATTTCAAAGCATTTTGAAGCAAATACTCGAAATAACATAATAATTGAAAATTTTATTATTTAAAAACATATTTATTTAACCAAAACACGAATTATAAATATATATAATATAATAAAAACAATTTTTTTGTATATATTTAAATTGTGAGCTAATATTAACGTTTAAAATACAAGTGTTATATGATTTAAGTGCTCATTTCACTAGCATTTTATGACATAATATATTAATAATAAAAAAGTTTGACTTAATGTGTCTCGCAGTGAGACTATTGGATGATTGGTCGGTCGATAATATTTAATATAATGTTTTAAATAACAATAATAAATGTGATTATTTTTGGACACATTTTATTAATTGACAAAATACTACTAACGGATCGATACATTGCTTGAAATAATTTTTAATTTATTTATTGATTTACTAATCAATTGCATTATAGACACACAATGTCTGAACCAATATTTTATAAGGTATTTACTAATTTTAATTAACAATATTTTTTGTACTATACAGTACTGTACAATACGGCTAATTAATATTTATTTCTATCAATTATATTAAATAGCAAATAGAAGTATATTTATTTAAAAACTAATTTGTAAACTAATCTATATTTAAATAATACTTGTATTTAAATAACTACATTAGTATTTAGTATGTTATATTATATCATATATGATATTAATTTATATAAACTAATAAATGATAAAATTACATTATATTTATTTAAGCATTAATATTTGACTGATGTAATATAATATGATTAACTAATAGATTAGATAAAACACTTTTACTTATATATTAATACAATATAAATATAATTTATTGCCATTTTCAGGATTTCAATTATTAAAATAAATATTTATTTTACTATAATTGTTATTTTTTTTAATATAAACTATTATTAATTTTATTGCACTATTATACAGTATAATTGACATATGTTTGAAAATATTACTTTCTATACACAAATTATTTGATTACTTAAAGTATATGCCTATCACTAAAACATGAATAAAAAACCCAACAAAAAAATCTAATTTAAATTTCAGATTTAAAAACTATAATAAAAATAATTGAGTTTGACTTTTAAAATTTTATTTATTATTATTTAATGTCAATAACAAAGTGTGATATGTCTTGTCACTACAATTATCGTATTGTAAGCAAACATATAATTTTTTATTTTAAATAAATATTTATTGCTTTTTAACATATTAACTACCAATTTATATTGACTGAGATTTTTGTGTAAATATTTATTTCAACAAATCTCTGTTTATAACTATATATATACTGTAATTACATAATATATATAATAGTTTATTTGTTTTATTTAATTGAAAAATATGTTATAAAATAAAAATTATTTTTTTCAACAAAGTTAGGTGAAAGAAAATCCGGTATTAAAATCCCGGGTCAGGTGCAGGACTACTATGAGATTCGTGATAAATGTCTGAGAGATGGTATCCTCTTCGAAGACGATGCCTTTCCTGCCAACGATTCGTCCTTTTATATGTCTTCAGGAAGAGGAAGGCGTTCCTTCCAATGGATTCGACCGACTGAACTGTCAAACGATCCCAAGTTTATATCCGATGGTCAGACATATCATAATTAGCAATAGTCTAATTAATAGTCCAATTATTTTTGTTTTAATGAATTTTACTATTTTTTTGCAAACTACAGGTGCTTTACGTTTTGATGTAATGCAAGGTGAACTGGGCAATTGTTGGCTATTGGCAGGTAATACCACAAAAAATTATTATTATTAATAATAATAAATGTTTGTATGAAGAACTCAATTATTTATTTATTTTTAATAAATATTTTTTTTAACACAACACAGCTATCGCTAATCTGACACTAAACGAGAAGCTCTTCCACCGGGTTGTGCCACACGACCAGACATTTGACAAACCGGAATACGCAGGTATTTGTTGTTGTCATCACATCTGACTTACATTTTTTTTATTTGAAAATTATCTTAAGCTAATTATTCGCTTGAATACAAAATTTGATAATTTCAGGCATATTTCACTTCCGTTTTTGGCAATACGGCAATTGGGTAGACGTTGTCGTCGATGATAGACTTCCCACTATTAATGGAAAACTAATGCTTATGCATTCAAAAGACAAACACGAATTCTGGAGTGCTTTGGTCGAGAAGGCGTACGCAAAGTAATGGCAAACTATTGATTGATTTTTAAAAAATCTTTATTAAAATATTTAAATTAATTATTTTATATCAAATTATATGAATAATCTATGAATAATTAATTAGACTTCACGGTTCATATGAAGCACTTAAAGGTGGAACCACTTGTGAGGCAATGGAAGACTTTACCGGTGGTCTGACTGAACATTTCGATTTGCAATCAAACGATTGTCCGCCAAATCTACTTAATGTTATGCTTAAGGCTTGCGAACGGATATCATTTCAGGGCTGTTCTATTGAAGCATTGGACGCATCGCAGATGGAGGCAGAGATGTCTAATGGTATAGACATCAAGTAATTAAAGTGATATTCAAAATTATTTAACAATATTTTTTTTAAATAATATAAAACATTAGGTTTAATTCGAGGACATGCCTACTCAGTAACTGGAGTAAAGTTGGTTCAATTAAGTACGCATAAAGTTCAGGGAAAGATACCATTGGTTCGGGTGAGAAATCCATGGGGTAATGAAGCCGAATGGAAAGGACCCTGGAGTGATAAGTTAGTATACATTTGGATATTTTAGCAATCATTTGTTGATTTGTATAACATTTGACTGTAATATCTGTAAAGATCACGGGAGTGGACAGTGGTTCCCGAATACGAGAAAAAACAATTGGGACTCACTTTCGATGCCGACGGAGAGTTTTGGATGGCATTCAAGGATTTCAAAGAAAACTTTACTCGACTTGAGATAACAAGTGTATCACCGGATTCACTACAAGATGGTCTGATTATTATATTAATCTATACTAAAAAATACATATAAATGATAATAATTGTCTGATTTTAGACGAAAAGCGTCGTTGGGAAGTGTCATACTTTGAGGGATCATGGATTAGAGGCGTATGACTTATTTTTAATGGATAAAACAATTTTATGATAAAATTATACTTTTAAAATATTACATAATTCATATGCCTTATAGATAAGTGCTGGTGGATGTCGAAACCATTTGCAGACATTTCATTTGAATCCTCAGTATTTGATAACACTAGAAGATCCGGATGAAAATGACGATGAAGATGCCTGTATGTCATTGAAATTTATTTTTATTTTTATCTAAATTTATTATTTTTATCTAAATTTATTATTTTTATCTAAATTTATTATTTTTATCTAAATTTATTATTTTTATCTAAATTTATTATTTTTATCTAAATTTATTATTTTTATCTAAATTTATTATTTTTATCTAAATTTATTATTTTTAAAATATAAGGCACTTGTGTTGTGGCACTCATGCAAAAGAATCACCGTTTGAAACGAAAGATGGGTTTAGACAGTCTTACCATTGGATTTGCTATCTATGAGGTCAAAGACGGACACTTTGTTACCGATGGACCAAAATATGAGTCGAAGTATTTGAAAGCAAAAATAGTTAATAAATATAATTTTAATTTATTTAATTTATAACAGATTTAAACCACAGAGAGAACAAGTATTGACAACTGAATACTTTAAATACAATGCATCGGTGGCTAAATCGCCCACTTTTATCAATTTGAGAGAAGTGAACGGAAGATTTAAACTGAAACCAGGTTTGAGATCATAAAAGTATATTTCATATATCACTAAAAAATAATTTGATTTGTTTTTTAGGCAAATATTGTATCATTCCGTCGACCTTTGATCCCGGAGAAGAAGGAGAGTTTCTCATCCGATTCTTTACAGAAAAGCCTCCCAAAGATATTCACGAAAGCGATGAAGACATCGGATTAGTCGATGACAAAAACGCCGGCAAAACCAACGGAGTATGTGATGATAAAGTGACACTAATTTTTATGACAAATAATTGATGTCTAATTTGTTGTTAAATCATTGATTAATTATTGGATATTTAATTTTTTTAAAAAGTCAAGCCTAATGTTTTTCAATTAACAAATTTTATTTATTTATCCCAAACTCTTAATCTATGGATTTGGTTATATAAATGAATTAATCAATCAATAGGTTACCGATAATCTGGTCGGAGATAATGAGCCTAAAGAGCCGGAACCGACCGCTAATGTTGCAAACACTGACAATAATGTTGATGTGATTCAAACTGTTTTGACAATTATTAATTTATTCTCCAATTGTTGGAGAGTTATTCAAAATGCAGAAGTGGTTCGTTTGATTTGATTTCAGTTTTGTAAATCACAATAACTAATGGTTTTGGCTTTTCATATATGCATTTAATTGATAATTTGGTTAACAATATAATGCATGAAATGCAGTATTAATTATAACACAACTAATTGCATGAAGTGAAAACTTGCATTAATTGTATTAATTATAATATTTTATATAGTTTTTTATTATCAATTGATAATACGATTTATATCTTTTGTTATGTCTGTAAAAAAATTTTGCTTTTAATAATTTATAACACAAACGGTTAAATCACTGCTAAAACAAACGTGAAATCACTTTTTTAAAAATGATAATATATTAAGTAAATGTGTTTTTATTTTTTGTTTTCTTTTGATAAGACTGAAGAAGTAACTGAAAGAAGAGCCAAACAATCGGAATCACAGATAACCTCATTCTTTGCCAAATTGGCCGGTATGTACACTACGGGTATTATTAAAATACAGTTCATTAAATCTAATGATTTTTAGGTGAAGACATGGAAGTGGATGCCATTGAATTGCAAGAGATAATGAATCACGCGTTGAAAAAAGGTATATAAATTATAGATGTGTTTAGAAATGTCTAAATTATTTAATATGTAATACTAATCGTTTTACTAACTCTTGTACCAAATCGTTGATTAAACGACCATTGATTGTGTGTTTCATTATTTATGTGATTTCAAGTCTTTGTGGGTGAGTGTATGTCTGTCTAACTATACTAATATAATAATATATATAATTAAAGTAAATCTCTGATATCATCTATTATTATCATTATATTATTATTATCATTATATTTCTTATAATTTATCAATCATTATTTTTCTTCTCAATATAACATTTAACACTTATTGATGACATAATTTATATTATTAATTTATATTACTAAGACTAATCTATAGTTTAATGTGTTTTCAAATTTAATTAATTAATTCTAACTATTGACAAATATTTAATTAGTGTAGTACATTATTAATATCATCTATAAAAAAATCAATCATTGTTATAGAATGTGACAATTTTGTGTCTAATTAATAAATTGAGTGTAAAGTCTAGTTATATATAGTATATCAACAGATTTATAGATATATTATTTTATTGATTTTTATTTCTATAATACAATACCAGAGTTCAAATTTGATGGATTTTCACTCGAGTCGTGTAGATCTATGATAGCTATGCTGGACGAGGACAGGACGGGTAAGAGTTGTATATATTTATGATAATATATAATCTGATAATATTATTGATAATGTTATTAGCAATTCAAATTATTAGTATTTTTTCTTTGAGATATTTATTAATCAAAATACAATTTTTTTGCTGTGATTAATGATGTTTTTATTATTATAATGTATTTTTATAGGCAAACTTGGTATGAATGAGTTCAGTCAACTTTGGCGAAACATCCGCCAGTGGTGTACTATATTCAAGAAACACGACACCGATTCCAGTAATACTATATCTGCCACTGAGCTGAGGTCAGCCTATCGCGAGGTCGGACTGAATGTGAACCGTCGTATTCTCGAAATTCTGATATTCAGATACGGTATCATAAGTTCGGGCAATAAAAAAGAAAAAAATACTGAAAAATCGCTAACATTTGACGATTTTATACATTCGTCGATGAAATTGAAACACGCGATCGACATCTGGACCGCTAAAAACAAACAGCCGACAAGCGGTGGTCAGTCACCCAGTGGTGGACGAGTGCTGCCGTTTGGCAACACTGGTTACAACACATCCAACATCGGTAACAAAAACATCGCCTTAAATACTAATTCTTCGTTTACTCTCGAAGAGGTTTGTTATACATTTTTTTATAAAATATGATTTTTTAATAATAATTAATTTTTTCTATTAGTTTGTCGAAAGAATCTTATATTGTTAAACACAATCGCCAATAGATTTGTCTTTAAACTTATTTTGCTTCAAAGTTACTCAATATACTGTAAATATATACTGTATATAAATCAGTATATATACAGTACATTGTATTAAAATCTGCCTCAAGTTTATGTGAATAATATACAGCAAGTATTAGTTTTGTTAATAAAGTTTTTTTGTGATACTCTATTTTTTTGCTATGAATTTTGCTATATCTTTAAAATTATTGTTTGAGCTAACAATTTATTATTAAATAAGAAATTGTATTTTTATATAATTACAATATTTACTAAATGAAAATTAGTGCTATTTTTATGACTTTAATCTTAAACTGCTTTAAATACTATATTTATTACATACATTGCAATTACATATTATAATTACTGTATTTTTGACATAATTATAAATCTAAGGCACAATTTTCTTTTTAAATTGAAATACTTAGCTATAAAAATATACTTTAATTGCTAAATATTTTCATACATAAAATTAATTACAGTATATTGTAAAACTTTTTGTTATTGAACTATACAGTTCATGAAATAATTTAATATTTATTATAACAACTACTTATAAAAATACTTTTAAAATTGTAATTTTATTTATAAATAATTTGTTAAATGTTCTCATGTTGAATTTATTTTTTTGAAATAAAATATTACCAAAAAATTTGAAAAATTCAATAAGTTTATTTAAATTTAAAATCATAAAATATTAAGCCAAATATTTATTTTATAAAATACAAAATGAAATGTAAAGTTTCTTATTGATTCAATGAGTAATTTTTTAAAAAGCTAAATAAATACAATTTAAAAAATATATTATTATATTGTAATGAAATACTAAATGAGATACTGTTTTACAAAAAAATAACAAAAATAAAATTTGAATATAATTCGGATTAAAATAATACTGAAATCACTAGAAATTGGTTTTTTGAAAATAAAATTTAAATGAATACCCGATTAATAAAAATGAGTTTTTAAGTTACAATAGTTGTACATTTGGATAGAGATTATTGCAAACATTATTATTATTATAGTAAAGCCATATTACTGTATAATACAATTTGATTTATATTTTTAAACAATACTTTAATACAGTATTATTGAAATGTCAGACAAATATATAAACGAACAAAATTAATGAGTACTTTAAGGATGTTTTTAATGATCATATAATGACAACAATAATAATAAAGATTTAAAGCATTGAACGCATTGTTAGTCATTATGAAGACCAATGGTTATTACAACCGATATTACTGTCCATTACTTATCTCTGACAACAATTTGCTTAAGACTTTGCATTTGTAATGTAATCTTGAGTTTTCTTTTTCAATCTTTCTTTTCTGTTCATCACTTATTTGGATCTCTTTCTTCAGATGAGAGTTTTGCGACCGAATCTCATTCATCGCTATTAATATATCGCTTTGAGAGTCACTTAAATTAGTTATCGATTTCTGTAGTAATAAAAGTGACAATTTATTTATGAGTTTTATTATAGTTAGTATACAGACATTAAAAAGTCATAAAATGTTTGATAATTTAGTTTATTTTTTACCCAAAGAATATATATATATACAGTATATACAGTATAAGAGTTAATTAATAAGGGATTAAAAGCCCAGTGATTGAAAATCAATGACTGTAATTAAGGGCTCACCCTATCAACAGCGGATCCGTGTCTTGAATGCACATCCTTATGAACGACAGAGCGATTCTCATCTATAAGACAACAACAACGACGACGACAACATCATCAACAACAGTATAAACAAACAAAAAAAGAAGATAACAAAGTGTTAGACTAATAGTAAAATACAAGAAACTGTTTGAAAGTCATAAATATGAGACCTCTTTCTCTGTGACTTCGAGTGAATCCTTTATAAGTCTTTCGATGCGTGACTTCTAATCCCTCCTTAGTTTTATTGAAGGCATCGATTAATTGGTCGTTTAGTTGTTTTATTTGAGTTTCACTGCTTTTCTTGAGATTCTTGAGATCCAAATCATTATTATTTTGAAGGACTAAATCGATGAGTTGTTTGAAAATGGTTGTCGCAAATGAATTTCGGATTTGTTTGTATGATTTGCTATCACTTTCATCGCGAAATTCATTTAAAGAATATGAAGAATTGGCAAAATGTTGTAGTATTTGAGTCAACTGTTTGTGAAGACATTGCTTTAAACCTTGGATTTCATTCATATGTCTTTCCTTCAGCTCCTTGAGTGTGACCTTTAAATTAGAGTTAATATCCAATTGTTCCTTAAGATTAACTTCTTTGTTATGCAATGAGTTTTCATAGTATTGTTGCATTTGGACGATAGTCTTGTTGTGATCAACGATCATCTGATCCGTGCGACTAATTTGTGTATTTAATTGCTGTTTCAGTTCATCGATTTCCTTATGAAGAGCATCTTTGGTGACATTAATATCATTATTTTGACTCATTGTCTCTCCATATTCTTCATCTAAACTATTATCTGTTGGATGAAACCGGATATCAGTAATGATAAGTAATTTCTAAATGAGCTAAACATTAGACTCATATCTATAACTTATAAGTATATGTAAGCTAAATGTCTACTCTTATATATAATATCCTAAAGGATATAACATAACAATTGTATTGATTGAGTGGTACCTAAATCTGAGTCAGTTTTTGCTGATAACACCATTCTCTTAGTCTTTCCAATTGAGGGACAGTCATCATCCTCTGTGTCATCTGATTATACATAAAATATATGTAATATAAGATTAGACAACAAAAAATAAAAGAAATTCTCTTTTTTATTTAACGACTATTAGTGTATTATTTTTATTATAAAAGTCAAAAAGTTGATTACCAGAAGATGAACAATCATTTCCTCTTCGTTTTAAGTTAAAAGCCACTGAATTGCTGTTTGTGTTGATCTCCAGTTCCTCATTACCACTGCCACTGACAGATGCCATACAATCCGATAGCCACGAGTGACTCTTTCTACGGTTTGTGCTTCTCTTGCAAACCTTGGATCTACTGTTGCGGTGGCGATGGACTGATATTTGTTGTATTTGTTGCTTAAGAGTTTCCATCTGTAAAATCAATTCATCGTTTTGGTCCTGTATTTCCTATAAATATATATTTAAATAAATAAAAAATAAATTTAAATCCATAGATTATTCAATAAAATTGATTCAAAATAAGTTAAACAGCTTATGGATGACAATCAATATAACCGATAATTACCTTATTTTGTGCTTTAAGTGAATCGATTTCTTCGTTGTGTTCTTCGCGTACTAATCCTTGCATTGACTCTAATTCTGTGATCTATAATATTAATGGTAAAGGATTTGATACAAAATGTTTGATATATATTGTATATAATAAATGATATAAATTTTGGTCTCGAAATTCATATAATAATTAAAGATATTTTATTAGTACAACAAAAACTATAACTATAAGCTTATGTAACGACTATTTGATACAATCGATTATACCGTTGGGATGAACGTTGTATTTTGCCTGATATTACACCAAAATATTACTGTACTTCGTATAGCTATTTGTATCTTAACATTAAATACTACTCTTATTATATAATATATATATAAAGACACTAACAATATCAAGGCTGTCATTAACAGAGACAACACTTTTGCACTAAATATATCATATAAATAGTTTGGATCTCTTTTTTTATTTAAGTTAAACTCAAAATTCAATTTATATGTAAATATTGTTATTAAACTGCTTTGATATATATCACTATAAAAGTTGTATATATAAATTATATATATAAAGTAGAGTATTAGTATTAGTATTATATCTACTATGTATGTTAAAATAAATAAAATATCATATTAAATTAGGGTTTACTCAATTTTAATTTAACATTTACTAAATATTTGTGTACAGTATTTGAACATTTGCTTGATAACAGTATTATTATATTTTTATCATATTTTTTTTATTTCTCTATCGTTAGTATAAATTTTTTAGTTCAAATAAAAAGAGAAAGACTTGTATCATACTTTGATTATTATATAGAGTTCACTAACCATTTCATTACACTCTAGCGATTAGAAAGAAAGARAGAGAGAGAGAGAGAGAGAGAGAGAGAGAGAGAGAGAGAGAGAGAGAGAGAGAGAGAGAGAGAGAGAGAGAGAGAGAGAGAGGAAAGATTAAACTCTCAAACAATTGTAACCATTTTATTGTTGTCTCAATTTCTTTGATTGTCTCATTTGTTAAGTCACTTCATATAGTGTTACAGTATTTTGTTTCATCTATGGTCTCAGATTTTTTAATTTACATCAAACATTGTATTGGTTTTCAACTAAAAATCATTATTTCTATTATAGTTATAAACTTTAAATTATGTGCTATTTTTATTATTTGTTTGCTCTCTCCATAACATTTTATATAAATTGTTTTGATTTAAATAAATTTAGTTTAGTTTTATTTTTTTCTAAAAATTGTATAATTTTTAAATTTATATATTTTTATAACAAATTATTTTATCTTAACAACAACTAAACTAAAAAAGGATTTAGTTTTATGTGCAAAAGATAAATGTGTTATAAAAGCGATAGTTATTGGAGTGTAAATTTGGAGATATTGTCTTTTTAAATATATATATATATATATATATATATATAAATTTATATAATATAACCATTTAGTAGTAAGAAATAAGATTTTCGGTGACAATATTGTTCAAAAATAAATAGTTATATACAATATGAAAGTCATGAATCGGCAAAAATACTGATGAATGAGACTCAGAAAAAAACTTTTTAAATCTCTTATCATTTATAAAAAGGGGACAAAAATCATTTCAAAATACATTACTATTGTATTAAGTATATTATAATATATATAAAAAGTAGTTTTCAAATTAATAAATCAATAGACAAACTACTAGTACTTTATATGTATTAATAGTTAGTATTAGTGCGGTAATACTGATGTAGTGTTTAACGTGTTTTTATATATATATACTTTATTTCCGTTGAATACTTGATTTTTCTTATGCAATGAGAAAATGATAGTTAATTTACATTTGAATCCAACAATAACAACAACAACAACAACAACAACACAATAGTTATGTATATAATTTGCAGAAATCAATACCAAAATGAGATACAATTGTTAGCTAACAATAGAAGTAGAGTTTATAAAAGTAGTGAATATATATTTTTTTTATAAATACAAAGAAATGTTTTTAGTATTAGATATATATTTATATTGTATTTATATTTACTTTTTTCTGCAATACTTCGGTCTCTTCAAGTCTTTTCTGTGAATCGATGAAACATTTTTGCAATTCATTGTATTTGGTATTCACTGATTGAACATCACTTTCCAGACGTTTGTTCTCCTATTACCAGACATAAGGAAAGAGTGAAAGAGATTTAGGTGTCAATCACTATATATTATGATTTCAATTCACAATAAATGTCTGATTGAATTAAATTTACTGTAAAAATAAAATAACAAATGGTTTGTGTCAATGAAAATGTCAAATACCTGTTTCAAGACTGCAATCTTGTCTTTCAATCGTACGGTCTGTTCCTGTGCTGCCGTCAACTCTTTGCTAATGTCTTCTCTCAAGTGAAAGGACTGCTTATCCAAAGTCTCCCTTTCCTTTTGAAGCTCTTCCTGAAGACAACGTATCTGTTCGTTGTATTTCTTCTCCAAAAGTCTATTATAAGTCAAATATATGTCAGTAATTGCTTATTATTGTGTGTTCATTGAGTGTCAAAAAAGTATATTGTATTTGATTGTATGTATTATTATTGCATTTTTGTGTCCAATATATTTGTTTGTTGTGGTCTCAAGACTTACATCAGTTTATTATGAGATGAGGCCTCAAGTTTGGCATTTTGGTCGTCCACTTCTTGAGCTAATAAGTCGGCTCTGCTGTTGGCCTCATATATATTGATACGGAGTCTGTTTCGTTCATCTCTGATGTGCTCATAATTAATCCTATAAATCATTAGCCAAAATATATAAAAATATAGCGTTATATCAGATATATTATATAAAAAAATTTCATATCTTTTTTCATATCAAAAATATTTTATAACTATTTTCTTCAATGCTCTCGATATTGAAAAAATTTATATATAATATATATATTGTTTTTATATATGATGTAAAAAAGAGTTCATAACTTTGATCTCATGCAATATTAATGAATTTCGTTTTCAAAGTGCATTATTCATAAAGCACAGACATAACACTAGCACTGGGATCCAAGTGCCACATCGACTCGAGAAATAAATTACAAATGTTTTGTGTTGAGCCGCGCCCTACGTTTATATTCCCTTTTATTTATTTTTTTACTACTATTTTACATTACTTTACAATTTATAACCAGTAACTTATATTTTTTGTTCAAAAGAGATATTATAATACAATATATACTATATATAATACAAAAGATAGTGAAAAAAACTTTAACATACAAATAGTTTACAACAAACAAAACAAAAAAAGAAAGAAAATCAGTTAAAAAATTCAATGAAAAATTCAATAAATAAATATTAGGACCTGGAGTTTACATCAATGGGTGCGAATATATACAAAAAAATATATAACAAAACAATACTACACTCTTTTTAAAAACATTTTGTTTTTTATTATATTGTATTTAATATGAAGTTATATTATTATTACTTACTTTGTTTGAGTCAATTCATTTTGGAAAGTAGCCAAAGCTATCTGTAATTTTAAATGTCAAAAAAAGATTTAATAAAGTATTTAACAGGAAACGGGTGGAAAAAACAAACGGTTTTTATTATTATTATATTAAATTGTATTTTTCTATTATATATTTACAGTATATATATATATATATATATAAATTTTTTGGTGATTACCTGAAACTCTTCCGGATTTGTTGTAGTGTTTGGCGAACAAAGTTTCTCCTCTAAGACTGCAGACAACTCCTGAACATTAACTTTGAGTTTGCAATTGAATCCCAGATTCTGTGAATATATTTAAAGAAAGGAAAAACAAATATATAATACATATATAAATATCTTATAACTTATAGAGTAATATATGATAAATAAAATATTTTAAATAAAAATAATGCTCTTTTGCCTTAAGGTTTACATAATATTCTGCTGTATTATTATTACAGTATTATTATTAGTATTCTTATTATATGCGAGTGTTGTGAACAACAGTCTTTCATTATGTATTCACAAAAATGCCTGATATTAGCTATAAAATACTGTTTTTACTCACAATACACTTATGTGTCATATGAATAAAGTGATTACATTTTAAAAAAAAGATATTATTATATAATGTGTTTTTGTTTTTTATTATTAATGTTTAAATAGGTTTATAAATGTTTGAAATAATTTATAAGAAATTAAGAGCTACACTAAAACGCATATATATATAATTTGGTTTAATTTAAATAAAAAAAATTGAGTAAAATATATTATTTTTTATATTCATAATATATTGTGATGACAATTATATGATAATATTACATACAGTTTATAAAACGATAAAATTTGTTTGTTTTTAAATATTTATTGTTTGCTCTATATATTTGAATTTATAAAGAGGTTTATTTGAAAATTATAAACTCAAACTATAAAAAATAAAAAATATACAATCATTTATCTAATTTAAATAATAATACCACAAATATATTAGCAAATAACAAATATACAGATTTTAATGTTATGATATTAAAGTTGCATAAATTTAATATTAACAAAAAATATATAACCAAAATTTACAATTTAAATATTCAAATAAAAAATATATATTAATATAATAGCAATACTACACTGTAAATGATATATTGATTTTAATGGTATTAATGATATTCATTGTATTTTATTAGACTCTTGAGACATATTAAACCAAAATAAGATTATGAAGAGTCAAATCATTAGCGTTAGTGAATCAAATCATTTGCTGATTTTTTAAAGGAAAATAAACAGTTTTTTAAAAAACTAATGACCAGTTTTTCATCAACCATTCATTGTCGACATATTTAAATTTTATGTAAACGTTTTTTCTCATAAATTGCCGCTTAAATGATTTACTTTTAAATAATTAACAAATACATTGTATGTATAATATATACTGTATATACAATATATGTATATATATGTGTGTGTAAACTAAGTAAAATATGATAGTTAAGTGAATGAATGATAAAATACTAAATTAAATTTTGAAGATATGAAAACATGTTGTAAAACGTATATTAAATTAAAATTAATATTCATATCATTCAATTATATTTTAATCTATTGTAAGTAATTTTTATATTTCATATTATATTACTATAAATATTATTAATATTGCTGTCATCGCCAAAATACCCTTCAAATTATTATAAATCAATACAACAACAACAAAAACGATTTATTTTTTAAAAATTCAGTTATTTTCCAATCGTTTTTAAACAAAAATCATTTCAATAACAAACAATAATCAAACATCACATAATATTACAATCAATTTGATTGAAAATTTGTTTGATTTGTATTGAATTTAATTATAAAATTTATAATAAAATGAATAAATTAAATATTATAAACGATAAACAGTCAGTCAGTAAATGCATTGTGACATACATTTAAAGAATTTATTTCAAACATATAAACGCCAAGAATTTCATTGCAAACAACATTTTTAGATGTTTTTTAATGCTTTAAATTTCATAAAAAAATGTTGAATTCAGTTATTTACAGAAATGGGTCATAAGAGACAACTACAACAATAACAACAACAATCGTTTTGTTGTTGATATGTAGTTCAGTATTGTTTTAAAACAATAACGTGTTTTGTCGGATCAAATTCAATAGGATATCACATCAAGTGTTGGCTTTCATTCAAATGCCATTATATATCAGTTTCTAATTATTAGCATTTTTTGTTATTGTAACCAAACAATTGTTTTTCAATTATTTAATTAAATATTTTATGAACAAATCATTGTATAAAAATTATATAATAATGTATTTGATTTCATATTGATTAAAGTTTATTTGTTTAGTATTTCTCTATTTTATTACATTTTAAAAATATAGTGATATATTTGCGAGTGGGTTAAAACCTCACTCGGGGTTGTCTTAAACAAACAAATATTAATAATAATGGGTTTATTGTATTATTTTTTAAGAAATATTATAAAGTGTTTTATGATTTGTTTCCTTTAGAWAAAATTACTTAAACTTTTTACTTTATGTGTCAATCAAATTACTTATTTCACTATTTATATCATTTTTTTCAAATATCATTTTCATAAAATTATAATTCATATTGACGTAAAACATATTATTAATATTTATTAAAGTAATTTTTTTGTTTAACTAAATGTCTGTTTGCATAATAGCTTTTAATAAAAAAACTGTTTTAATAAGTTTTTAATTTAATTAAGTAAGGTTTCAAAGAAAAATTTGTTTAAATATCATTTTGTAAATATAATTGGTAAACAATAATCAATATAAGTTGAATGTTTATCTCGTAATACTTAAAAATAATTATTTACATTAGTTGGTTAATGCAATTCAAACATATAGAGTATTATATGATAAAAAATAACAACAAACTTCAAAAAAACTTGGCAAACAATATGCTAAATGATAGACTCGCTGTCGGATTAATTATACCTTATTTACAATAAAATGTGTCAAACGATTGACAGTTAGTTTAGTCAACTAAATAAAAGTCAACTAATATTATATTGACTGAAAGCGAGGCTAATCTCAGATTTACATAAAATGATATAAAATGATTGATTAGTGGAAATATAAATGTCGATTGAAATAAACGGGAAATGATTTTAATGTAATCACAGTTTCTCTTAATAACCAAAATAGAGAAAATAAATTGAATGCTTTTAAGTTAATGATAATTAAGTCGTGATTTGGATGATTGGCTAAATCGACATTTGGGATGTTGTGAGAGAGGGATACCCTACCAGTGCTACGACCAGTGGTACCAAAAATTGCTTTCTTTCTGTGCTTTTAATTGCTTTGAATATATCATTCATTCGTTCAATTCTTTTAACTCTACAGTTGTGTTGTGTTTTTCATTTCTTATGCATTAACTATTGATAACAACTGACAAATGCTTGTTATACACTATTAGGCACTGAAAGAATCGGTATGTAATATGTTTGGGCAGAGAAAAAACACACAGAGAGACAACATTTTAGATGAATCATAGAGAGAGAGAGAGAGAGAGAGAGAGAGAGAGAGAAGCAATAAATTTTGTTTTTGATAGTAAAAAGGCTTCACTTCTTTGTTTCTCTCATCACATGCCTCTCCATCTCAGCGATCACTTTTCCCATACCATTGAATGGCTGTCTCTCTATTATAGACAACATTTATCATAAGCTAGAGGTTTGCCACACATTTCACTATTTTTCTATCGGTTTTCTCTTTTTAGATAAAGATTTGCGGCACAAACTATTATATAATCATAAGTACATTATTATATAGACTGTGATATATTCAAAATAATAATAATAATAATAACAAGAAGTTTCACTCTTGGACTACATTAGTGTCTGCAAAGGAAACACTTTAACAATTCATATGTGATCTCTATTTTTATGAAAGACTTTTCTCCATTACTTAATGTTATAAAATGTCAAATAACTATCTCGTAAACAATGAAAAGAGATGATAAATGTTTAACTCTAATGACAAAGATTTTCAGATGTGATAATTATCCGATTTTTAACGCTAATCACCAGTAAAAACACATATTATATAACAGCAACTCAAACAATAGCACAACTGCTATCACTACTTATACTATATACAGTATACTGTATTATCGATTTTATTATACAAAACTTAATTAAACAACTGTTTAGTGAATATTAATGAATATTTTAATTTTTAAATAAAAAAGAGTTAAACTTTATTAAATCTTTTAAGTAAAACAGCGTAAAGCACTTTGTCTTTTCCAATGGTTTTTAGGTCTATCATTGAAATGTAATGTCAAATGAGATTTAAAAATGAAAGCAAAACCAGAGCCACAAAAGTTGAATATAAATGTCAGCGAATGTGTAATTAATTTGAATAAATGTTGAAATAAACTTAGAGTTAGTGTTATTTTCTGTAAAATAGACTCAAAATAATAATTACTGTTTTGACTATATATTAGACTATACTTTATATATGTTTTGTTTGTAATGAGAGTACAGGTCATTGGTTTTAGTTGGATTTGGTTGATTGAAACAAACATAAATCTTTGAACACAACCATTGTTTGATATCTATACCATTAAGACTGTCATTTGGGGTTATTTTTCGAGTTTCAATACCGGGAGTTAAAAAAAATTGTTGTGTTAAGTGTTGTTATACTTATAATAAGTTTGAACATAAATGTCGATTACAAACTTAACGACAACTTTTGTTTGTTAGTATAGTTGTATACTAAAGTGTGTTTAATATTTAGTTATATTATTAATAATATAAATAATTATTGGAGTGCTGTTAGGAGGCAGACTAAAGTAACTCCCAGTAACGCCAGTTCCTATCATTAAGGGGTCTATAATATGGATTTCAACAGTTTATCGATGAGCCGACCCTTAGTTTGGGCTCGACTTCTGTTCAATTCAGAAATCTATTGAAAATCCCTAATATATATCCACTGCTTTATACTCTTACTATTGGAGTTCATGGAGTGTATGGTTGGGTAAAAAATCAATAATAGTCTCATTCAATATAAGCCAAATGTATAACAGATAAAAACGAGAGAATGAATGAGTGAGTGGATAGAAAAGAAAGAAAGAAAGARAGARAGAGAGAGAGAGAGAGAGAGAGAGAGAGAGAGAGAGAGAAATTGGAAGATATATAAAAAGTCATGGGATTTTGAACTTGAAAAAAGTAATACCATTGCAAACAATATTGATTAGTGAATATATAATATAAAACACAAGTGAATCAAACTTATATATTGTGTTAGTTTTTTTTTGTCAAACCGTGAATAAATTATTTGCAGTTTATTTTTTTGAGAAACCATTGTATTGAAAGCGATGATTGCTTTCTTTAACTTAATTAAAACATTTATCAGTTTATTATTTATAAGTTTTTATTTTGTGTGTATTTTTTTAATTATACACTGTGTATGAGTTTGTGTACATTTAAAGATAAATCTAGTATTAGTGGTTATGAACGGCAATGACACTCACTTACAAAACATCAATACTTTGTTCACTAAAAGCAAACGTTGGGTTAGAGTGAAGGCATAAGAGAGAGCTAATAGTATTTGGGTTTCAAATAAATATTGTATTCAATTCATGAATTTTGAAGACACAAAGTTGTCTCATAATTCTTATGAGACTAATATTGACAATAAATGTTATATCAGTTAACCGTTTAATATAACATATCAAACATAGTTTAGTAACGACTATAGMTATTGTTATGTAAATTTCGTACGAAATAAGTAAAGCTTATTATTATGAGCTAAGAGTTATATATATATATTCAATATATATAGCTTTTACACACACACACACACACACACACACACACACACATATTACTCACTACTCACTCACTCACTACTCACTCACTCACTCACTTATATATATATATATTCAATATATATACTCACTCACTCACTCACTACACACACACACACACACACACACACACACACACACACACTCACTCACTCACTCACTCACTCACACACACTCACTCACACACACACACACACACACACACACACACACACACACACACACACACACACACACACACACACACACACACACACACACACACACACACACACACACACACACACACACWCACATCACTCACACACACGTATGTATCACTGGGAGAGTGCCATTTAGTGATACCACAGTCACCAATGCATTAGTTTTGTTGCTATAATTCTGATGGCAACCAGAGTTTGCCTCACAATTCATGGCATTATTATACAGTATATCATAACATAGTATACACACATTGAATACAGTGTTGTGCTGTCATTCAGTATATAAGCCGAGCGGTCGACACACAGAGTGCTCGGCACTGGTATGTTGTGTGTATGTGTTTGAGCGCATGAGTGCGGCAAACAACTGGCACTTTTGCGTGCGTTGCAGTCGTACCACAATTTTTGCCGATTTGTGTCTCATTTTTTGTGCTCAAGTATTAGTCAATACATGAGTGTTGCCAACGCTATGCATATGACTCAGTGATTATTTGCTTCTCTATCTCACTCTCCCTGTCCTCTCTATTTCTTTAACATAGCAAATACCGTATTACACAATACAACTACTGGTGATGACATTAGCAGTCAATGAAAACTAAACGATTATTTCAAATGACAATCCAATGTTCACCACTAAATGAAACCATTGATTGAATGCCCTAATAGTGTGTCTCAACTCAATACTGCCACCACTTCTCACACAAACACAACTCTCGACACAACATCACTCGTCTCGTGACTTATCATCACTTGGTTTGCTATCTTATGGTTGTCTCATAGATATCTCAGAAAAACCATAATATCGTAAATACATAGTTAACAGAAAATTCAAAATACGTGATCATTGCCTCATTTGATTTACATGTTTAYATTACAACAACGTTATACAGTATATTATGTTATTTGAAAAAAATAAATAATTTTCTCAATTGTTTTCATTATATTAGTCATAAAAAATTTATTCATGAAATTATACATACAATCAGTATTTGCTCTGAATTAGTGAATCCCAATGATTCCCACAGTTTGAGGACATTGTCGGCTTCGGTGTATCTGTTAATAAATAAAAGTGACATTTGATTAGTGAACGTCATATAAGTTTATATGTATACACAACGGACTCATTATCATAAAAATATAAAATCAGTGAATTGTAATCAACAAATTGTTTGATGTAAAAAATCTATTATACATATTATACATATATTTATAAAAATTCATATAAAAGGTGAGATTTTTAAAAATAAAATGTTTGGAATGTCTCAGAATTTTGACATTTATTTTTTCAATAGATATATAGTCATACTATATAGAAATATCTGATATTTATTTTTAAGGTATTAAATATGTGTTATGCATGTGAAATATGTGTGCGCTTTTACTGACAGTATTGTGTATGAGAGAGACGACCAGTCACTGGAGCATAAGGGGCGACCCGTGGGACCTCAATACACTTTTTTCACATTATATGCCAATATATAATACTAGTATATATGTCTAAGTTTATATATATAGTGTTATACTGTATATAACATTTGTGACATTAGGTATACAGTATATTGGCACTGTTATATGGGTATTGTGTATTGAATAAAGGCGTCGCTTATATCCCTGTGCTTTACCGATAAAAAACCTATTGCTTGAGTTAGTGAGTCCTTCACTTTTTTAAGTACTGTTAAGATATGGGCATCTCTTTTGCTAACTCTTAAAGAAAGCGCTTTATTGCACAACAATAATGTTTGATATTTTTTCACATCAAAACTAGTCATTCATTGTAATATATATAAAAAAGTTAAGTCTCTGTCTATTTCTCAGTGATTTTCCCCGACAATCAAACTTTTGCCTCCTATTACTTTCACACACAAAACAACCATTTTTAATCTATCAATTCATTTGACTCTCACTTTCAATTTGTGTGTTTAAAATGCAATAAAGTTTAGGTGAAATACATACACAAAAAATTCAGTAACAATACAGCAGATGTTAACACAAAAGGTTAGTGACATTTGACAAAAATTATGCAAATTTCAAATGTAATATTAGCGACAAAGTTAGTGCTTTTTTTGGATCTCTTGATTTATACAATTAAGGATTCAATTTGTGATATAATAACATCCTGTTTGATGAGCTTTGACTATAAGGATAATAACGATCAAAATTGCATTTTATTAAATGCAATCCTCTCTCTCTCTCTCTCTCATCGCAGCTCCGGATGAGCTCATCATTTGCTTTCAATCAAATAAGTGCCTCAAAAATGTACTTCAATTTTAATTTAGTCATTCATTGGCCGATTTAAACAAAATCAATAAAAACTTAGACAACAACAACACTTACTGTACAACAGTTTTATTTATTCAAAAAGAGATATTGATTTTTCACTGGGCTTTCATTCATACAATTCATATTATATTTTATCCCAAAAAATTCCAAACTAAACCGTTAAACATAAACATAACAATCGATTGAATAATGTTTTCTATACATTATATAGCTATTTATCTATAAATCATTGAAAAATACAATATAATTTGCAAAACAACCATATTTTATAACACATAGTCATTATATTTTATTTTTGTATATGAATTTTAATTAAAGTGTAGCTCATTGTCAGTTATCACACAAACATTATAATTATTTTAAATGTAAATTTTTCTGCAACTTTTGATACAATTTATTTGATTTTCAGTCTTAAATAAAGTTTGTTTTTTTGTTTTGTTTAAATAAGACTTAAGAGTTATGTCAAATTAAATATAATGTTGTTATTATACGCTAATTAAATGCAATGAATGTCAACACATAATTAGTTGGATTTATTTAAACCGTTAGCATTGTGTTAATCAAGTTATTATAAATACTGTACAAATAAATGATAAAATATAATATATAATATTTTAGCTTAAAATCATTACATTTGCAATCTATATAGTAATTAATAATTATATTTATGTTGAAATGCTATTAAAAATGATACCCTGTTTAAAATTGAAACACATTTTAATTAAATTTATGAACCATATATATATATAAATAAAAATAAAATGGTTTTATACATATTTTTATTTGTATCATTTAATGAGTTTGAATTTTATTATAATTTATAGTACTAAATGCTATTTGTTTGTTCACACACTTTTATAATAAAACACATTTATAAACAATACAATACTGTATAATTTAATACATTATTATTATAATTATGATGTTGTAGTTATGAAACAAACAATTATAATTAAATTCACGACAAACTAATGATTAAAAAGTGAATATTAAATTTAAAAGCATAAGTTCACAGCACTGACTGATTGTTATCTTTTATATTGTATTGTATTGTTTGAATTTTATTGATTAGTCGTTTTGTTTTAATATAATATTAACTTTTATCTCCTCTCTCTCTCTCTCTCTCTCTCTCTGCTCTCTCATTACTACAGTTTATCTTAATATGAGAATAACATTTCCAAATGAGTGAACACAACACACAGAATTTAGGCCTAACTTATATACAGTAATATTACATCAGTTATATAACTTTAGTGACAACATAACAAATGAATAAATACTGTATATATATATTATAACTTATAAACTTATATTATCTTTAATCAATTTTGATTTTCGTTGTAACCCTTTTGTTATGTGTGTATAAAACTGTTGACACCAAATATATCACTGTATGTGAGGTCATGACAGTGGGCTGTCATCACATGTTTTTAAATTGGTTTTAATTAAAAATTAGTTTTTAAATCTCAAATTACACATCCAAATAGTTTATATAATTAATATATAAAAATTAATTAATAATCAACTGTTAATATGATTTAGTGATCTAAAAATTTTTAGTAAACTACATTTTATTGGGTATTTTTAATAATATTTTATAGCAAATACCATATGTTGTGTTAAGAAAATAAAAGTGTTTTATATAAAAATGTTGTGTAAATGGCTTTAAGATATTAAACCTAAAAAAACTCTAAAAAAGTAGTAACAATAGTACTAATAATATATATATATTATTTGCTAAACATTTGACCGTAAAATATAGGGGTAATAAAGTTAGTGATTCCTAATTTAATTCTCTGGTCTACACACATATACCATAACAATGCTTAACATACCAATGGTTTATATATAGACTATGAGCTCAAAAAAGTTATTGTATGGTTTAATATTAAAGCCATTGCTTCATTGATAATTTGTGGAAATATTTTTATGTCTACTAAATATTTGCAATTTTATTATATATTATCACAACAGAGTGTGTTGTTGTTATTGCCTGGCATTTGAATGAATGCCAGAAAAATATATGGATGTATGCATTGAACAGATGGTTATTATAACACCGGGCGCTATAACTGTACTCAAATATATACAGTATATTTATGTAAAGAATATATATATATATATATATATATATATATGTATATATATATATATATATATATATATATATATATATATATATATATGTATAGCAGTTTTTTATTATATAAATATATGACAAACTGGTCTCTGAAAACTAAGTTTTGCATAACTATTAAAAATAAAACTCTTTATCTAATCTGTGAATACAAATAAACATTTTTCTCTATATTCTCTGTTCATTAGTTTGTCGACAAAAGTCATAAACTTTAATATCAAGAGAATATATACCGTATATTATATTATATATGAAAACTAGAAAATAGTTCATTAATTCATTTTAATAACTTCTAAATTAAATGTTTTTATTATTTGTTTGATTTAATGCAATTCAACTAAGTTTACAATTTTTATTTTATTTGCAGTTTAATATTAAAAATTAAACTAATAAAATTGTTTACAATATTTTCTAATAAAATTTTTGTTAAAATACGCAATTATTTGCATTACAATTTTGTAATAATTTTTAATGCTTTCATTTTTGGCTTTTCGTTTAAATATTTATATATCAAATATATTGTATAAATTATTTAATATATTTGTGTTTTTAAAAAATGTTATGCAAATAAATTCAATGTTTAAAATCCCAAATGCATTTTATTAATGCTTAATAATTTCTTATCAGACAAAAAATGTATCAAATTTTTTGAATCCGATCTAAAGATATGATAATAAGCAGCTAAAGAAAGTTAGCATTAGTTTTGATTCTTATCAAAAAAAACTTCATTTTTTATAGATTTAAACTAAAAAATCTATGCCTATCTTTTCCTACTTTTTCCCCTCCATTTGTAGTGTTGTTCATGTTTTTAATAAATAGACCAACTTTTCAGTCCTCTCTCTCTCTCTCTCTCTCTCTCTCTCTCTCTCTCTCTCTCAATCGTCAATCTCTCCCATATTTTTTTAGTATTTTATTCAACAATTTATTTTCTCTATTATTAAAGCACAACATCATAGCCATTGACAATGAGTCTCCCTTTCCTTACTGTCTCTAAGTCTTCCTCTCGATTATAATGCCTTCAGTCTATGATTATTGTTGTGTTTTGGTATCAAATTTTAAGTTGTATTTGTGATTGTGATGACAATATTAAAAGTATATTTAGCCATAAACTACAAAATTTGCTATTATTTGTACAAAAATTTCTTTTAATACTTAAGTTTTTGCCTTCAAATGTTTTGATGAAATGGCAACAAAAATAAAGAAAAAAATTATTATTATTTTTATTATGAATTGGAGCTCATCTTTGAATTATATGGTTGTGAATGCAATGGCCTCAAGGGTTTGCCTACACATTACATTCAAATATACTGATATTTACTTTTAGATTTTATTTATAACTACAATATATACAGTAGTATATATAAAGTTGAATACACAGTGAATATTAGTGTTTTTTTTTGTAGAGTCAGTCATATTATTGTCAAACTGTAAGCAATCAGTCCCTACAATGTCTGTGACATCCGTTCATTGTATTTAAGTTTGCGATTAACGACAAACTATTATATCAAACACTTCCTCATGAAATAAATCTTTGAAAATACATAAAATTCTGAATTAATTTGTCTTTAATTATATTAACATCACATTAAAACCATTTTTACACTTATTATTAGTTCAGTTCATATTAGATAATTTT